TCTTTGAGGTGAAAGAAATTAACCACTTACAATACTTCCTAAGTTTCTAATTTTTATCCCCCCATCTTGCACACAGGAATGACAGGATCTTTGTCAGGTGTATGATCGTCCTTTGTCCGTGGTTCAGCACATCATGACTAGCATGTCTACCCACGAAGGAGCTCTGCAAGACTTTTGTGGGCCTCCTAATAACGACTCCCTCTTCTGGCCTGACAAAGCCTATGGGTATTGTAAGGAGCTCCTGGTCTTTGACTCCACCAGCTACGCTCTGCTTGCCATCACTAGTGGCCTATACATAGGCCACATCCAGCACACAGAGCATGAAAACTTGAAGAGATCACGAGCTGTACATATACGGCTTGTCGTGTCTCTGGTCGCCAGCTTGTCACCAGTGTTGGGGATAATTTTGAGCTTAAATCATGCCGTAAAGCCACTTGCGCCAGTTGAATACCTTACGGATGGTTGTGTTTTCTTTGCCTGGGTTGTGCATGCCCTTTACCTCATCAAGCTACGGAGAACAGGGACAAAGCATGTGAGGGGTCATTTACCGGTCCTGCTCATGTGGCCCCTAACTTTTCTGTCCACTGTCGTGAAGGTGGCACGAGTTTTTCGCAATATCGTTCACAAAGAAAGAGTAGAGTTGGATGAGATTGCCAGAATTTTAGCATTTGTAGAATTTGCTTTGCAGCTGCTGTATTTAGTGTCAGTGTTGCCCTCCCCTAAACTCGCCAGAAAGAACTACGAGAAGAATCGAGGTAGGCCCATCTTTCCGAGCATCAATGACGGTGCTTGGGATGAGGCATCACCCTTGGTGGGAGGACGGAGGAGGTCTTACACGCTGGATGAGTACGGTCTCCTCCCTGATCTTGGCATTGCTGAGGAGCAAGGCGGTTTCCTGTCCAAGGCTATCTTGTGGTGGATCCAGCCGTTGATGAGACGGGGAGCGCAGGGTCAGCTGAGAAGCCCAGACGATGTATTCAGGCTGCCCAGGTCGTTACAGACCCACAATGTGGAGCAGGCCTTTGGCAGGATCTTTTTCCGTGGTAAGCTATCCCAGGGAGTCACGGATTACAGTGGGACGTACAACGCATCTCGACTAGAGGATTCCCAGATGCCTGCAGGCTCTCTCTTTTCTGAAGAACCACTCCACAGCTTTTTGGGAGCCAGCTATAGCAGTCAGTATGACGAAGTGCCATCTTATGAAGTCAGAAACCCCAGGTCAAAGACATGTGCACAACCCACCCTCCTCCAGGCACTGTTGAAAGCTTTCGGAGTTCGCTTCTTCTCACTCGGAATAGTAAAATTTGTCTGTGACATGTTAACCTTTGCTGGACCCCTACTCCTCAATGCTTTGGTCACTTTCATGGAGAACAAGAAGGAACCAGTCCGGAATGGTTGGCTGTATGCCCTTGGTCTCTTTCTCTCGTCACTGATCGGCTCATTCATGTCTATTCACTACAACTACCAAATCTTCAAGATCTTGATCCGCATGCGGGCTGCCCTAGTCACCACGACTTACCGCAAGGCCCTCGTGGTCAGCTCTACCACTGCCTCGCAGTTCACGACCGGTGAGATTGTGAACTTCATGAGCGTCGATTCAGAGAGGATCATCAATGTCTGCAGAAGCTTCCATGAGTTGTGGAGCCTCCCTGTCAAGGTCACTGTCGCCCTGTTTCTCTTGTATCAGCAACTGGGACTGGCATTTCTTACGGGTCAGTTTTCAGATCAGTTTGCATCTCCTGTTTAGGGCTGATCCAGGGGGGGTTCAACAGGGGCCATGCCTCCTTCCCCTTCCCTCCCAGTCTAAAACAGGAGCCCAGAAATTGAGATAGAAAGATGATTATATGATCTATTTCATTCCATGCATTCCAAAAAGCGTATAAAAGCCTGAAAATGTAACCTCGCCCCTTAGAAAGTTTTTGACACCCCCCCAAAATTTTGCACCGCCCCCCCCCAAAAAAAAATTGAATCTGAATCCACCCATGTCTGCTGTGTTCATATGCAAGTAATGCACCTTGCCCAAAGGTGCGACATTGTCAAATTGCACAAGACCATCTCAAGGCATTCAGTCTCAATGGAAAATTACAGGCCATTCAAATAAACTGCAATAAAATTCCCATGTCATTGAACATGCCCTGTTACTTGTGCCTGGTCTTGGAAATTCTTGACCATTTCCAGCCCTCTAATTCAGAGTTCTTCATGTATGTACAAGCCACCTTTCTAAGCCCTATCTTCTCTATAAACAAGCACCACTCTCAGCAAAACTGCTTGTTTACTCTGCCTGCCAAACACGTGTGAACAAGGTCTTGCATATCATGTGTCATTGCTTGATACAAAAGATCTCTCAAGTCTTGTTCATATGCAAATTTAAAGCTATTTTTTGTCATAAAAATATGAACCAGTTACTCTCCACCCTTCCACAGGCTCAATTATGTTTTTTCAGGCATTGTCACTGATTAAATTCTAAAACTATGTAGTTTGTATTGTATGCAACTCTTGTAGAGACTAAAGTGATATAATGTTAAGCTATAAACAAAAGTGATTGGCGGTCTAGGATTTTCAGTGTTATTTTACATGTAAGTCCACCAGACCGCATATTGTTTTAGTGAGTGAATATTTATTTTTCTGATTTTAGGAGTTGGTTTCACTCTGTTGCTGATTGCTATGACAAAATGGCTGACAGTCAAGATCCAGAAGTACTTTGAAGATCTGATGCGTCACAAGGACAGCAGGATAAAGGTCAGTAGCTCAGAGTGGACACTCAAGTCCCAGTAGGCTTGGTGTCCAGTTGCTTGATTTCCGGTGGGTTGCTTTCCAGTTCCTGTACCACCTAGGTCAAGCTGCAAAGAAGCCACTAATGTTGAACTTCACAGCCAACTTTCAACATTATTCTTCCGCTGTTATTCTGCGTGTCGTATCCTTGTAGAGATGTGGCCAATTTTTGGACACAGAATGGGGGTATTTCAGTGAGATATGTGAGGACCTTTGGACGGCCAACAACCGAGCTGAAGCACACATGAGAAATTCTGAAATTATTCAGACAAATTTGTCACAAACCAATCAGAAAAATCAGAGACAGGCTGTGGAATATGGCCTCATGCAGTTTTGTGGTCATGGGAAAATTAAGCAGGTTAAAACCTAGTATGAAACAGAACTCTAATTGGAGCTAACTGAGAAGTGTGGGGTTGTTGGACACCCCAAATCTCACCCTCTTCCTAATGAAATTATTATAATTCATGTAGAAACATTATTCAGTTATCTGTATATGCATGATGTCACACAACAGTGCTCTCGCCATGCAATACGGGTTTGCATTTTTATTTCTGAAACTGTAATTGTATGTGGGTTTCCAGAACACTGCGGCTGTATTTAACTTTGGGTGTTGTTGGCTCTGGCTAGGTCTAAGCTCTGTGCTTTAGAGCACTGAAGTGACTATGTCACAAGCCCAATCGTGTGTGTAAAAGGCATTAGGGCGAGAACCTGCTTGTGAACCAATGCCTGTGCGTATTCCATTCGTTTGTACGGCATTTATTGGTTCTAAATGACGTCACACTTTGGTACTCTATGCTGATGGCAAAAGTCAAGGTTGTTGTCACAAAATACTAAATTCAGACTGTGTAGCTTTGTCATCTTAATTTTTTTCATTGCGTGGACTTTTAAAAGGCCTGTAATTTGAAAAAAAATCATTCCCAACGAATAACTGCTTTACCGTGTCCACTAATCAGGTGATGAGTGAGATCCTGTATGGTATCCGTGTTATTAAGTTCTACGCTTGGGAAAAACACTTCACGCACCGGATCAAGGAGCTGCGAGACCAGGAGTTGAGCAGTCTTAAAGGAGTCAAGTATCTGGACGCCATGTGCGTGTACTTCTGGGCAACCACACCCATACTCATCTCCATCCTATCCTTCACCACCTACTCACTACTCGGAAAGCCGCTCACGGCTGCTAAGGTGTGTGGCCCTCTCTGCTTGCACCTTGAGCTAGGAAGTTTGTTAATGGATGAAACGCTGGTCACTGTAGCTTTTTGGACCTATCCAGGTACCTGTCCTCGACTGGATGAGGGCTGATGCTGAGACTGGTTGGTAGCTGGTTGGTCACATGACCATGAGGTAGTCCCAGGTCACATGACTGAATGAGGTCAGCTATTTGATGGCTGATCAGCAGGAGGTATCACCCCTGGACCCTGATTATTTCAACACTGTAGTGAAACTGGCCTCCTTAAACACCTCTTTAGAACCATCCTGAATTCAGGCTCATTATTTGAATGTCTGTGAAATTATAAGTAAGAATTGTCTGACTGTGGTAGTGTGCAGCTTTTTAGTACAAAATGCAAGCTTGGACTAGTATTGCTCAGTATTACAGTGTCCTTCCTTTAGTTTGCTGTCAAGTTGGAAGAGAAAAATGGCATCTCTCTGCTTTAGTGTGTCATGAAAGTCTTCAGATGGGATTTAAAGAAGTTACGGTCAGGGATGATGGGTGAACTGATGAGATATGCTTCATCCGTCATGCTCAGACTGTGAAATTTGTTTCCCGTCCTAGATATTTACCAGCTTGGCCCTTTTCAACATGCTGATCGGCCCACTCAACAGCTTTCCCTGGGTCCTTAATGGCGTCATCCAGGCTTGGGTATCTGTCAAGAGAGTCAAGGGCTTCTTGGAGCTACAGGAGCTGGATCCCCCAACCTATTACACCCCAGGTACGCTCCTCTGATGCATCTGTAAAGTTCTAGCGATCACTAATAGCTATGCTTCTTACGGACATGACTCCCAGCTCTCCATGAACAGTTAACCTAGAATTTTTTTTCATCTCCCCATCATACGATGTCGAGTCAGATTAAGAAATTCATTCTGAGATATATTTCCTTGGAATGATGTGGATCTTGAATTTAACACCCAATGTCTGAGTATGCAGAAGACACAATGGACCCCAACTCATACCTTGAGATCAAGCACGGCAGCTTCCAATGGGACCACCCCAGGAAAACGGAGAATACCTCTGGGGATGAGGAGGCAAAGAAGTCTGGCAGACCAGCTGGGAAAGATGTAGATGGGATGGGGCAGGGGGAGGAGGGGACAGGTGTCCTGAAACTGTCCAGTTTGAATTTACGCGTTGGCAGGGTAGGTATGCAGACTTTTGTACTGTCAAATCACAGGGGATGACCACACTCGCAAGTGCATGAAGGGACAGAAATACATTTGAAGTGAGAAAATGATTTCATATCCTCCAAAGTCAGTCAAAACTCAGGTTCAGGTCATCCATGTGGAGACCCTTTCCCCTTTCCTTCATCATTGTCCATACTCAGTTGACTTGTGACCAGGCATTCAATTGGAATTGAAATTTGACTTGATAGTGTGACAGACAAGTCCCAGTAAGTCCATCACAAGTCACCCAGTCTTTAAGCTACATCCCAAGCTATGAGAAATGAACTGTGGCAAAGGTATTCCTTTGTCATTGTTCACCCTGTTACTCATAACCGGTCTTGTGAAAGGACTTGTGATGGACTCATCCACAACCCTTTTTTCAACTCAACTAAAACTGGGAGTTATTTTGATGTCGGCATTTGTGAAAGAATTAGGCTGTTTGCTTGGCGTACTGCATACAATCAGCGTAAAACATTCATAATCTGGCGTCGTTTCCGCTGATAAACACACTAATAAATCCTGTGGCAGCTCGTGACATTTGGCCCATACAAAGTCCTCAGCTAGTCAGCACACAGCCAGCTTCATGATACTCAATTCCTCTGCCATGATGAAGTGAGTCGGTCACATTGACTATGCAAAGAGCTAATAATTTCCATTCCCTTCCTTCCCCCCACCCCAACACACGCACATGGTCTGACCCACAGGGTCAGCTGGTCGGGGTCATAGGTTGCGTGGGCTCTGGCAAGAGTTCCCTCCTGTCTGCGATTACAGCCGAGATGACCCACACCGGCGGTTCCATCAGTGTGTCAGACCTGATGAGTGGCTTCGGCCTGGTTCCTCAGGAGGCTTGGGCGCAGCATGCTACCTTGCGGGATAATGTCTTGTTTGGCACAGATTATATTGCCAAGAGGTACCGAGCGGTCATTGAGGCATGCGCTCTCCTGGAAGACGTCAGAGTAAGTAAAACTCCCAGTCACCGCAGTTCAACATAGATTCTATCTCCTCTGCATGGTCACTCCACTGTGATATACTTTCCACGTACAATCACTCTCTCAAAAGCATACCCACAAATAGCCTTGGAAACTCTAACTAATCAACTCATTACATACCCTACTGAATGGGCCCTTTGCAAGCTGCAGTTGAATAAAATCTGGTACGCTGAGTTCTTTAAATTCATGTGAACCTAACAACTTGAATTCTTCAGACTAAAGACACTATTGCTTCACCTTGTGATTCGGGGTAAGCTTTTGCTTAGTTACATTAGAGACGCCTTTCCTCAATACACTGTTATCAATGGATAAGAAGGGCACAAAGGTGCCAGTCCATTTCAGAGATGGTGGTCGCTATGCAAAAGCTTACTTCGAACGATGAGGTATAGCAACAGTGTCTTTAATCTTTAGAAATTAAATTGTTATGTTTGTGTGCAATCAGATAACTCAGTGTACCAGATTTTATTCAAATTTAACTCGCAAAAGACCCTTTCCTTGATGGCTACAGAACTAATTCAGGAATGGCACGTGTAAAGTGTGACCTGTGTCATAGTGGAGTCCACATCTAGTCTGATCACAGATAAATCACGTCACACAAATCCAGCCAGAAGTTACTGGAGATGATCAGTAGAGGACTGTGGTTGTCACAGTTTGTTTACATAGGACCAGATTTGGCTCGGAACTGGATAACTTGTGACAGACTTATTTTGGACTCAACTTCAACACGTATGAAAATATGAATTTGAGGAAACACCATTTTGTATAGAGGAATAGCTACGTATTTGTTAAATAGGGGAAACATGATTTCTTAACTTAAAAGAAATAAACTCTGTGGGGTTACATGACAAAGTTAGGCATGCTGTGACAGTTGTTGATTATGCAAACTTTACCGTACATCATCTTTACTTTCTCCAGTTTGCATTGAACCATTTCTGCGATTTCCAAAGTTCTGATGAATCAAACACACACACACTAGTCTTGCACAGATCTAGAACTTGTCTCTGGAAGAAATTTCACGTTACTTATATTTTTTAGTTGACGTTTCTCCAAAGATTCTACCAGCAGGAGACCTGACTGAGATAGGAGAGAATGGAGTGACCCTCAGTGGAGGCCAGAAGGCGAGGGTGGCCCTGGCCAGAGCCGTTTATCAGGTCAGTGTTAGGGCCAGTGTTGTAGTGGAGTAGTTTTCAAGTACCAAGGTTCTCTGCAAGATACTGAACAGGGTAAAAAAGGAAATAAAGCTCTAGTACATAGGCATTTGATGGTAACTGCACAAATGTACGATTACAATCTAAATGTAAGACTTCAAACACTCCAAGTTAAATTGAAGTTCTAAGGGGAAATGTACTCAGAAAGTACTCGACCGAGTATGTTTCAAGTACTTTTTTCCTAAAAACTGAATTTTTGTTCAACGGTGATGGTCTGAAGTCATCTTACTTTGTAATCTTATGTTAGTACGTGTATCGTACATGCCCGTGTACTTAAGCGTTATTCCCTCTTACCCTGTTCACTATTCGGCAGAGAATTTGGTACTCAAAAAAGTACTTGACTACAACACTGGTTAGGGCCTATTCACGCTGTGATAAGCGTTAAAAATATTCTGCATGATGAAAAATATTGAACACAGTGGCTATATTAGACTGCTTGCACTAAGAGCAAACTGCATGACAGGGCAATAACACGCCGTGTTTAGTGTGAAATAAGACCGTGAGAATGTGACTTTACCAAAAGTTGCTGGTCTGTATGCAAAAAGTTTCACCCTGGTTAGATACGTGTTTCTCTTTATATTGGCGAAGAAGCAAACACAGAAGAACCTCAAGACGTTTACTTTTGTATGGTTATCAAGTTTCTCACCCTTTTCAGGATAAAGACCTGTACCTACTGGACGACCCAATGGCTGCTGTGGATGCACATGTAGGGGCGCACATCTTCTCCCAGTGCATCATGGGATTGCTCAGAAACAAGACCAGAATCCTTTGCACCCACCATACCAAGTACCTTCAGGAAGCCGATGTGGTTGTGGTGATGGAAGGTGGAGAAATTACAAATGTCGGCAAGTATAAATTGAGCTGAAAGTGTTGAAACTTTGGGCAGTGACAGTTATCCAAAAATTTGCAGGAATTTTTCTGCGTGACTTTGAAGCTAACCAGAGCTTACACTTAACCAGTGTCACATGCTGCTCCCTTGATGTCTTGCACGATATGTATTATATGTATTATATAAGTCCACCATTAAATCTAGCTTGAATGCTCGTCACTGTTTGTTGCCATTTACACTGTCATTGTTAAGAATTGGGTTTGCAGTTTAGGTCGTTGGGAATCGTGTTGCTGTGGTCTGTGCTGAGGTCCTGCTTGTTCTCAACGTTGCTTGATCAGTAACGTTTTAATTCATTTTTGTGATTGGTAGATTTTGTCACTTTTAATGATATTTGCAAGTCTGCAAAGGGAATGATAAAGTCAAGAAAATTTCTTCAGTGCATCTTTAATTGAAGCTTTTCCTGAAGGTAGTTCTTGAGATTCTGTTCTGAAAGTTGAGTTTCAAACATGGCTCTAGAAGAATGGATATCCCTCCCTTTCCTCCCGGCAGGACATCCCTCGATGATTTTGAAAAACAAGAACCTGCTGACCTCATTGCAGTACAAAGACCAAGAAATCACAGACTCAACCGAAGGTGACAGCAAGAACTTGGAAAAGGACGGGGCGGAGCCAAAGACGGAAGAGGAGGATGGCAAGCTGGTTGAGGAGGAGGAGCAAGATGTGGGCGTGGTCAAGCTGAAGGTTTATAAGGCGTACTGGAATGCCGTAGGATGCCTCCTTGCAACCAGTGTCCTGATTGCGATGTTCTTAATGCAAGGTTAGATATTAGCAGTGGTCTCAATGTTACTGTGTCCAGCTACTCTTGCTGACTTCGGTTATGCCAGGCAATTTATATTTAAATATTCCTGTTCAAAGTGTTGAGGTATCCTTCCCCAGAGTTAGGAGGTGTGTTCCAAGTTGGAATAAAAACAATGAAATGAAATTATTATTCTCCTGCAATTCTGGTAATCATGGGATTCCTCAAAATTATCTAGTGCACCCTAGCTCACAAGCCTGAAAAAACCTGCAGAGAGGAGACAATAAGAAACAGTTGCAGTTTTAGAGGTGGGAGGAAGCCCCAGAGGAATGTTCTGGGTAAAAGGCTGAGGAATCGGGTATGAAATGAAAACCCAACCCACGTATGGACCGAGCCGGAACCTGGCCTAAAGCGGTTGAAGGCGAGGAAAGAACCACTTCACCACTCTCCTGTGACCTGCCTGAATATATATATTCCTCATTTAATATTGAAAAGATGTAAAAACTGAGATACGTTGTTTCTGTCAGCTTCCAGGAATATGACCGATTGGTGGCTGTCGTACTGGGTCGGTCATTCCCACACCAACGACACAATCAGCTCAAGCTACAGCAGTGATACCACTGGCCATGACAGAAGTATCACAAGGTTAGCTCCAAGTGTCATGATGGTGACAAGAATCATCCAATCAGGCAAAGATCGTTTGGGGAGGGAGGGTTGCCGAGTGGGAAAGAAATGGTAATGTGTTCTTCGAAACGCAATAATTTTGAATTGATCTTTTTGAACTACCTGTATGATACCTGTAGCAGTGGTTCTGGGAAATTGACCTTTGTACTCATAAAGAGCAATCATTCAAGAGGTCTGTGCCTTAAAGAGAGGAGTACTCACCAACTCATTAACCTGTTTCCCTAAGTTCATTTGCCTTGATTTGATGGATGTATATTTGATGTCAAGTTCACATAAAATTTACTTCCAAACAAATGAACCATACTTGTTTATCTTAACAAAACTTTAAGGGAAAATAATTGTTGCAAAAGTTGATTAATATAGAATGCACCCGCAAGATGATTATATCCAGCACTGCCCGAGCAAGTTTCTAATTCAGTTGCAGTGCGGAATCTTAGAAACCTGTTTTCCTTTCCCTTTCGTTTCTTCAACTGAAAAAAGGGAACTGAGCATTCTTGCAGAAGTTCCGTACACCAGGATAAACCGGACAAGTGATGACAACCTTGTCTTCTTTCTCGGCATCTACGGTGGCATAGTCGGAGCAAACAGCATTTTTACCCTGTTCAGAGCCTTCCTGTTTGCCTACGGTGGCCTGTGCGCTGCCAGAACTGTGCACAGCAAACTTCTGGCCAGCATTTTGAAGGTAGAGGGAGTTTTTCTGTGGAGCAAATGAAATTGACTGGAGCTGTAAAGTGTTTGTGAAGCTCCAGGTTTGCATGCTGGTTTGGTCAGTTTTTCTTTGTCAAAAGGAAAAAGAGATGATAGAAAGGAGTGTCCAGTCTCTTTGCATGTGTGATAATTCATACTCCATAGGTGTATAGTGTGTTTTGAGGTTTGAAACTGTTCAGAACTCTTAATCAGGCATTGAGAGTCAGTGTTGCAGCTAGGTCACATTCGCGGCAGAAGTCGGTGATGGGGTAAGGGGAGCTACAAACCACAATCTTGAGACAGGCCGGCTATGGGCCAACTCGCGTCCAGATGTCACTCGGTCATTACTTGTTACAGAAAAAAAAACATCAGCATAGCCTAGCAAAACTCTGAAAGTATAACATTTGAACCTGTATCTCTGTGATGACTTCCATTCCAGGCCCCCGTCTCCTTCTTTGACACCACGCCCATCGGCCGCATCATCAATCGTTTCTCCTCGGACGTGTACACCATCGACAATGACCTCCCGTTTGTCTTCAACATCTTCTTGGCCTCCCTTTTCAGCACAGTGGGTGCCTTTGCCTTGGTGTGTTACGGACTGCCATGGTTTTCCATCGTACTGCTCCCCATGTTTATACTCTACGTGTACATCCAGGTAGCTAAAAACAAACCCGGCAGTCCTTGGCTTTTGTTTCAGCTACTTTTCCTGTTTTTGTTTCCAATTTGTCGGTTTTATGCAGCTCAAACTGAAATCTGGTTAGGATTTCACACTGCATCATTGCATCAATCGGAGACCTGTCCCCTCAATTTACCGAAATGATTCGAACAGTCCTGCAAAAGAAAATGCCTCAATTTTTCATACGTTGATTTTGGAATTCTGATATATATATATTTTGAAATGAATATCCATCAGTCTTTGAGCATAGAAAGATTAAATGACATAGCTTGAAGTCCCTAGACTGCTGTCGTTACTGGTTAGCTACTCTAACCTGATTTTGCTCAAAACAGTAGATCTGCCTCACGTGAAGAAAATGATTGTTGGTGTGTACCTCTGAACTGACAAGGTGTCAAAGCATGTAAATGAGCAACACCACAGGCTTCGGAACAACAAATGTCATAACAAATATTTAATTGTAGAATGTTCACTGTTGTTTGATCAGAATTACTACCGGAAGACATCTCGTGAATTGAGGAGGATTGAGAGTGTGACCATGTCTCCAATCTACGCCCACTTCTCCGAGACTCTGGCTGGACTACCGACTATCAGGGCACTCAGAGCCACTGAAAGGTAAGACAGAGATAAACCATTCCCATTCACGGAAGAAAGACCGACTCTTCATGCCACCACGTATGCCTTTGGTTGCCTGGGGAAGGTTAACAGGACATTGACAGTCTGTGAGAGCAGATCAAACTGAACCGTGTTCATTTTCAGATGCTGTGGCTGGAGACTTGCTCTTCAGTTGCATTCCCTTTTTGTCCAAGTATACGCTCCGTGATGATTGTCATTTCTTGGCTTCAGGTTCCGATTGGAGAATGCTACCAAGCTGGAGACCAATCAGAGGGTTCGTTTCTGCAGCTTTGCAGTGACGTGTTGGCTGTCCGTCTGCCTTCAGATGTTGGGTGTTGGCATCGTTACCGCCGTGGCTGTCATATCTGTTTTGGAACACCAATTTCAGACCGTCAGTCCAGGTATGTATCAGTGTCCTGGCGGTGGGGTATATTTTATCAAGTGTGCGAGTCACAGGCATCATATTTGGCAAATACATTTGATTCTGTAAAAATGAACTGAAATACTTTCACACCATTAGAAGTGCTCAAACCAAACCCAGAGATTTTTGGGTGATTTGTCCCATATTGTACAGCGACCAGCAAGGTGATTTTCATTTCAGGGTGGGGAATTCAAAGTACATGTGAAAAGGGCACCATCCATGCTGAAAGACACTTTTTTTACTGGTCACCCAACCGGTCGCCAATCACCCAACCTTCAAGAAAAAGTGGGGGGGGGTTCTGACTCCAACTTTTCATCGATGGCCTCCTTCATGGCCCATCAGTTTCTGAGATTCACATGACATCAATAAAGAGCACATTTTACCAAATATCGGGAGAGGGTTTACACACCCCACCATGACTTCCCCCCCCACCACCATGCTGCCCCGCCCATTGTAAATACAACCTGTATGCATTTTACCCACCTGAAACAAATCATTGGCATTTACCTGTAACAATGGATCATATTGCCCAAAGGAGCACTCCAAAGAAGTGATTCTTCTCGATTCTCTCAGCTGAGAAAATGCATTTTGCTAGAGTGCAGTTACGAAAGTTGGAGATGCCTGTCACTGATCGAATTGTGTCTGGGGGGTTCTGCCACAGGTTTGGTTGGGTTGGCTATCTCCTACACCCTGTCCATTAGCTCCTTGCTGCAGTCCATGGTGACCACCTTCACCGACACCGAGAAGAACATGGTCAGCATGGAGAGGGCTGAGCAGTACATCAAGGGCCTACCCTACGAGCAGCAAGAGGGACTGCGCAAGGTAAGCTGTGATCAGAATGACGGTGACCCCTTGTCATGTATCATCGTCATTGTGGTGAAAGCCAGCGCTGAAGTCAAGTGGGCCACATGTCTGTCATGAGCAAGTCACAAGTCAATTTGGAGGTCCAGTCATGAGTGACGGGATCACGTATTAAAAGGAACTGCTTGGCAGCAGTTCTTTGAACAGCTCTGATGAAATGATTGTAGTGGCAGGGAATTTTTCTTGGACACCGGTTTTCTGCGATTTTAAACTCTTCTCCCATGAATGAAAATTGCTTGACATCCCCGTTAAAGACACACTGAAAAGGGCCCTTTTTTAGATTAAAAATTGCCCGTGCTTTCCTGGACAACTGAGGGTGCTGTTGCTGTGATGTCATCCAGGGAAGACATGTTTCAGTGCCTGGGTTCTCTGCTCAGATTTTGAACCCAGAATTTACTCACTGGAAACATCTCTCAGGAAGGGTTGTGCGCTGACTTTTTGCTGTGTAGTTACACAACAATGAATTGCTAGAGAAAACAATGTTCAGGGCCACAAAATATCAAAAAATCTGGCTCTTTTTTGCGGAAAAACCAATGCAACATTGATGTTCTTTTTCCGGATGAGATCACAGTTTTCTTGGTTTTGCTCATGAATATGGAAATATTTCCACATTCCTTTGGAATATAGCATAAAAATCCAAAAGGCAGGAAAATACCCTCTACGATAGTGGGACGGAAATTGAAAATGACATTAAGTGGGACACAAAGGTGCATTTTGAAGGTTTGTATTTTTAAATTGCATTAAAGCTAATCAAAAATTTGCTTATCAAATCCTGTGTTGGTACCAACGAGTGCTGCAATGCAGTATGGATTTTCCAGCAACCACAAAAAGAAACCTCTACAGAGTGGCTTCCATGCTTAGCATGCTCAGTTCACCTGTTCTATCAGTTGTCTTTTCAGCTTATGCTGTTGCAAAGATGATGTTTGTCACATTAATTAACCCCTTTGCTCCGGGCACCGTCGACAGCCGCGGCTTCGTGTGAAGATTAGTGCATACCACACATACAGTCTATTCACCATGCAGCTGCTGGTTCAATGGGGCCTGCTGATGGACAAAACCCTCCATTCAGGGCATACCACAGCCCAGCAGTCACGGTCAAAAGAATGACCAGCGCGAAGGGGTTAAGAATGTGTCCCGTGTGTACCTGAGCACAGCACATGCTCTGCGCCGTCTTCCGGTTCCCTGATGAGACTTGTACAATAATGGCAAAAAAAGTGGATTTTAGGTCCAGACCTGGATAACCTGAAGACGGGAGTTGGTGTTTCCAAGTTCGTATTCACTTCACGTCTTTATTGCTATTGGTTGTATGCGCTCAAAGACCGGATGAATTTGACATACCACGAATTTTAGAGAGAGAACATATCATCGGTTTCACCACAAAGTGATATGCAGGATCGTTTTCCACAGAGCGACTGTGACTTACTGTCCATAGACTTGGTACACAGGATACGACAGTTAGTGTTGCAGAAACTATCCACGATACGTCAGTTTGTCATGCAACGGAGGATATAATGCACTTTTACCACATGTTGAAATGACTGAGTCACTATTAACTCACTATAGTGTCAGCGCACTTGATATTGTGGCCCTGTGGTTTTTGGACATATTTGCCTGATATTTTGAGTGATACTTTAAGAGAGTTACTCCTTTAAGAAGGATATTATGATTAATGACATTTATTACTGAACTTTCATAGGTAGCACCTTCCTGGCCCCAATATGGCCAAGTCTCCTTCAAGAATGTCTCTTTTGCCTATCGCCCAAACCTCCCAAATGCATTGGATGGAGTCACATTTGACCTACAACCTGCTGAGAAGCTAGGCATTGTGGGAAGGACTGGGGCAGGGAAGTCATCACTCTTACAGGTGCTATTCCGAATGGTGGAAATTCAGAGTGGTCAGGTATCCATTGATGGAGTGGATTTAGCGCACTTGTCATTGGAGGAACTCAGGTAAGAGGAGTTCAGAGACCAGACCTTGTAGTCTTTACGTCATGACTTGCTTGTAAGAGAATGGCTGATTTTTTCCCAAAGTTTCCAAACCTCAAGAAGAAATTTCTGGTTATAGAGACTTTGCGTGGTAGCCATTTTGCAGGGCAGTTCTTTCATTCCACAGGGAAACCTCCTTGTGCATACACAGTGGAACAAAAGCACGGGCCTGCAAAATGGCAGCATTGCAAACCCTCTACATTATTTTCAGATACAATGATTCATTAAATTGATGTCAAATTCAATTTCCTCACTCCTTTTTCCCCCCATTGTCAGATCCAAGCTTGCCATCATACCCCAGGATCCCTTCCTCTTCATCGGTTCCATCAGGGAAAACCTGGATCCAACAGAACGATTCTCAGACAGGGATCTCTGGGTGGTGCTGGAGAAGTGTCACCTGCAATCTGTGGTAGAGAGCCTGGGAGGTTTGCAGGCTCAGGCTGGGGAGAAAGGCCGCAAGTTTTCTGTGGGTCAGAGACAGCTGGTGTGCCTGGCAAGAGCTATGCTCACCGGTGCCAAGGTGAGAAAGGTTTTGTGAAGAAGGGATAATATACTTAAGTTAAATTTACTAATTTTGTCCAGATGTCCTGATGTCAAACATTTGCATCTCAAGATTTTGATCTTTCCCATTTTTTCAATCGAGGGTTTCCGCTTGTCTTTTGTTGGCATGATTTTCTCATTGTGAATATGATTTTTTTATATTCGTTACATCCTCTTCTCTGCGATATGTGGTCCTCCTTGCTTTGACTGTGGGTATGGGTTGATTGAGAGCACGGATGGATCTCATGCTGCCAAGATGTTGTAAAAGAAGTTGCCTGAATATTGTTAGCCTGTTTGAGATAATCTGGCCGTCAAGTACTTCCACATTTTCCCTCTGCCAAGTTCCTCCTCAGTTCTGGCATTTTATTCCCAGCGAAGGTATCCGACATTTGTTACAGCCTCTTCCTCTAATCAGCCATCCTACATTTACTGATGATTCCATTGCTCCCTTCTTCTCTGGCTTCAGGTCCTGTGCATCGATGAAGCCACTGCCAGCGTTGACATGGCAACCGACCGTCTCCTCCAGCGGACCATCCGGCAGGAGTTTGCGGCCAGCACGGTGCTGACCATCGCCCACCGGCTCGACACCATCATGGACAGCGACCGGGTGCTGGTCATGAGCAGTGGTCAGGTGGCCGAGCTGGCCAGTCCAGCAGAACTTCTAGAGGACCCAACCTCTATATTTTATGGCCTTGTCAACAGTGGTAACAGTTCCAATGAGGGGTTTGTGTAAGACAAGTGCCTTGGGCTCAAGGTCCACTTGCGTCAAGTTATTGCTGAATTTTAAATTTAAAATGTCATAAATTTGCTGCCAGTTCTTCTCATACATATTATATTTTCCTACTTCATAGGATTGTTTGTACATTAGCCGAATCCAGGGGTGTGAGTGGAATAAAAAAAATCAAATTAGCTACAATTGGGAGTGGGAAGCATATATGGCATGGGGTCCAGGGCCTTTAACCCTAACCCTCCTCAATCCTTCACCTGTTGGAGGATTGAGGAGGGTTAGGGTTAAGGAGGCCCTGGGAAAAACTTGAAATGTAGAAGCTCTGTGGTATGGTGCATTTTACAGCCTCCTGGTGCAACTGTTGATCTTTTTTCTTTTCTTTTTTTAAATTTAGGCTATGCATATTTTAAATCTTACTTTTTCTTCATATTTGAAATTCTTGAAGAGGTTAAAATGAATGGAAAGACTTACATATACAGACAACACTAATTTCCCCTTAAATATATAATAACAGCCATCAGAAAGTGAAGATCTGTCCTACACATGAAGAATAGCCGAGAAACTTTTGAAGCATTTAAAACTGGTTCTTTTTTTTTTTAGAAAAATCTCATAGGTTTGTGCACAGAAGTATATTTTTATAATATAACTTTCCAAATGAACTAGTAATAGGTATGCCAAAATCGTAAATATCGAGGTAGAGCGAGTTGGCCCTTTTCTCCTGGCCTGAGCATGTTTTCAAAGTTTCAGTTCTTGAAATAATGCACAACTTGCGTGTACATCGCATGTCCAGGCTTTTGGATTTTCCAGACCCGGACCGTGTTGCCTGCCCATCATGTCTACCGTCCATTTCCACAGATTTATAACTTGAGGATCGGTCTTATCAAGGGCTGTATCCAAGTCAGAACCTCTTTGGACAGTTGTACATAAGTGTTGCGCTGATATTTCGATTACCTTACGTCCGAAAATTATTTGAAAGCCTGTATAAAATGATGCAAAACCACCGTGGGAATGCGTGACACAAGAACTTTGCACACCACACACCAGTTGTCATGAAGCCCGCTATCAGTGAAAGCGAAAATTTACTAAGCTTACTTCATGTCGGGAAAAAACAGAAAAATCAGCGCGTGAGAAAGGAAGCAGAATGAGGAAATCTGGCCCATTGACAGCAAAAAAGCAGAAAATCAATTCGGCATTTTCAACAAAAAAAAGCGGAAGTCTGCTAAAAAGCAGAGATTTCACACCCCTGCTAATCATTCAAATATATTGAAACTACACACCTGGCTGTTACTGTAAGGGAACGAACAGAGAGTGTTGGGCCACATTCAAACACATCTGAGGGTCTTGGTATTGGAACAGAAAGTAAAGTTGTCAAAGGACACACCATTCCTGCAAGGCCATCCCTCACACGCATGCCTCGACTGGAGTGTGCACACACACTTTCGTAAGTTTTGACACCCTATCGGTCGCACAGGAATGTAACTCACGCGTACCACCTACGTGAGAACAGAACGGCCGCGCACTAATGGCTTCTATTCTTTTCACCAGATTTACCCAAAAGAATTCAATGAAATTTTTCGAAAATGGACAATTTGGACCAGGTCATCGTAACATCTGCCATGCATAAGGTATCATAGCTACATGTACCAGTACTGTAGCTGGACAATATCATTCCCAAGGACATTGCAGTGTCTTGAAAAAATCTGCTATATATTTTGGCCAGCTCGAGATGGAGACATTTACTTTTTTTAACATACAGCAAGGTAGACTGGCTGGTGACACCTTTCCTAACCTTTTAAATTTGTCCTTAACAGGTCCACGTTGTGATTTTTACTTGGGATCATGTTTTACGACTTCATACTTAAACATCAGACAAACTGTCCAAAGTCTATATTTTGGTTTACTCACATTGACAAGTTGTTTTTTAAAAAAGTTTTCGTTTGTTTCCTGACAAATCAGGGTGCTGTTTTTTAGTCATTACAGAAAGACAGATTTCATTTGGGAGTTACATTTTTAGTATTTTTTAATTTTATAATTTTTGTTTTTAACCCAACCGTTGCCCATTGACATTATCTGAAAAACCTTAACTTATCAGCATATGTCATTAACTGAAACAAAAGATCACCAAAGTAGACAAAATTTTTCATCAGCAAAATTTCCAAAATTCAGGTAAATTTTAGTGTGGGGAATAGCTGTAACGCTGAGGTTTCTGCCTTGAAAGGCATCACACTATCTTATAACTATGTTAGCCATTATCATAAAAATCAAAAACGGAGCAAAAAAATCTAAAATGGCACATCGATTATTGAACTGAAGTTAGTTGGACACAAAGGAGCATTTGCAACTGCATTTTAACACACTGACTGCTGCACACAAGTTCGAAGGGGCATTCGCACTTTCAAAGTGCTGTACGCATGGGCGCAAATGGGTACCTTTCAGATATCTAGTTGAACATGAGCATTTTACTGATGTATGCCTGCCACACTGCCAGTGGTTTATTTGCGTATTTGTTCTCCGGTGATCCCAGTGCATTCAAGTTATATTACAATAGCTTTTCATTACCTACAAGTACATGTATTATACCCGTAGTGGCAGAATCCGGTACACCTGATCACATGGGGCCATTTAGATTTCACCCTTCATCAAATGAGTGGATTGTGCCATCCAGTTTGAATTGGAGATCTATTCAAGGAGGGCATGGCAAGATGTTAACATCAATTTTCTTACTATGGTAATAGTTGTGCATAAGATGATGCAAATCACTGTGCTAAAATGAATGCAAGTCAATCATTCCTTTAAATTTCCTTCAACTTTAGTACAATGTATACATGTACTTTAAAAAAAACAAAAGAATCCCATGTAAATCAATGTAAAACAAATCATTTCAATACTGGAACATTCCACTCAGCGTACCACCTTTTTCCTACTCACATGCACGGACAGATCCAGGAATTTTTTGGGAGGGGGGAGTTCGGGCCCAGTGCGTTGAATTGTTACCGATGCAATACTTTCATACACATAGTAATGTGATATAGGGAGAAGACATATTTCTCGCAGTAACCCTTGCAGGCTGTCATCATTTTATTGTTGCTATAATTGATGTTTTCTTTGTTGCGTGTCGGAGCCGGAGAGGGAAGGAAGAACCCTCTACACCTGATAAGTGTCGGCTTCATGATCGGATCAGCCGCTTCCTCAGTGGTTTGCCCAATTCCAAAAATTACTTTTACACTCTGAAATGAGAAACTTTGCAGGTTTCATTTTGTGCAGTACACAGATAGGTTTTTTTTTTTTTTTTAGAGCAGTTGTAAGATTAGGAAAATGTATGAGAAAGTATCTTCAATAAATGAAAAATCCTGCCTTCAGAGTTGTGTTTGGTCTATCTGGTTTTGATGGAGTAGATAACATACGTGTTCACATACCAAATCTGGGGCACATTTATTATTATATGTTCACTGGTATACATTATTGTACAATATGGGCAATTCACAATAGTGTGCCTCCAAGAGTTTGCAACGTGTTGGCCAATTATAAAGCACAAAATCTGTTAACCCTTTCCAAATGCGCATTGGGTCGACAAATTTCCCGCTTTGCGATTAGCCAGCACATTGCAAACTCTCGGAGGTCCTTTATTGTGAAACGCTGGTATCGAACGTGCCCCTGAGAAGGGCAGGGGTGGTAAGCCAAAAAATTGGAGGCATAAGTGAGTCCACAAAATCCTGAAACATCAGGGGTTTCCCCCAAGTCAATATTGTCATTTATTGCAGAATCTGCATATATTTTCAAGATCATTTTTATGATGCTTATGTCGCAGAAAAACACACAAACACTGTCAAACTCACCCAGCTATCTGTGGGGGAGTGGTGCTCAGAACTACAGGGAATAACAACCTAACCACCTCACATGTGGTTTCCGTCGTCTTCCCCACTATTCAGAGCAGTCATCTGTATGAAGCTAACGAGAGAAATACAAACGTGGACTGCTGCTTTATAAGCGCAGACAAACTTCTGAACACTGGCGTACACGCTTGGCTCATCTTTTTTGCTGTTAGTGTGTTCAGACATTCATTTTACAAAAAGGTTGCTGTTGAGGCAGTATTTAGACGGAGCTATTGAAACAGTGGCACTGTGTTAAAACTTGAAGGAAAGCAACAGCGGGCCTTGAAATATTATTCAACACATGTACATGTATTATTTTCTATTCCACACTGAATGAGCCGTGCGCTGTACAGCCAACAAGAGACCCAGTACTGAAACAGTATGCCTTCTTGTCCTCTGAATGTACACCACTTCACGTAGGTTTTCATTTGATTTTTTTTATTCCAGCTAATCTACATGCCGTTGATGACGCAGATATCTCTCTAAATTTGAATCCCTCTCAGCAGACAATGATGTCAATTCTAAAAGCGCACACAGGTTTACAGTGAAATGACAACTTTGAGGTACGCTGGATTCATGTGTACAAACCTTGCCCCAAAGTCTTTTAGCACCCCCATGGATCAACGAACTGGCATCAGAACTGTGCATGCATCTACATGTAGTCAATCTATACCCACTCTGCACCACAACTATCTTTCTTTTGTTCGTTTTGGTCAGTGTTTGATCGCTGATCATGGTGCCAAATGTTACATACAGTGCAAACTTCAAAACAAAAATGGCCTTCACGTTTTAACTCCTTTCAACATGAGCACATAATAAAAAGCGTTTTAATCCAGATCAATGTACTGTATATAAAGGCGTTTTGAAACAGCACAGCAATATGATACGGGAAATACAACCTTGCAGGACTTTTACTTTCAAAAATGTCACCCAATGATTACATTTTATCTACAAGTTAATGTGCTGTGACTTTTTGACGGACAGTTCATGTTATTGTGTACGATCTACCAGTAGATTGCATAAAAATTAACCTACCAAGCTTACTCTATACGAATAAAATCAGAACATAATGGTAGAGGTTACATTTACAGCACGTCTTTCTTGATTTATTTAAATGCCAACCCCCTACGAAATGTAACATGTAAGGTACAGTATTCATCAAAATGGTTACTATTTGGGTTAAAGATACAGAGAAAAATACATGAAACCAAGCACAGTGTACTCTCCTCCTCTGCTGCCAAATGGATTGGAAAAAGAACTGCACTGTACAGAGTAGATTCAGTACTGAAATACATCAACACAGACTAGTCAGGATTTATTTGAAACGGTGGTGAGCTCGGATTTTAACTATTACAGCTGCTCTTACTGAAAAGGAATTTCTGCCCGGTCTCCATCAGACAACTTTTTTGTCATCTTTGCAATGCCCAAAAGCGACGCAATCAATCTCGGCATTAAGGTCAGGTGTTCCAAAAAACTCTAATAATCTCTGTAAAGGCATAAAGCTGTTTCACTACACTCGGCTCCAAGGTAAAAATCCTAAAATGCAAACCGTTAAAAATCAAAGAATCACTGCACTTTGTCGCACCAATGGCCACTAAAAAATAACTTGGGTAAGAAGTGGTCTCCCGCATACCGCCTATTCCGATACGATACTTTCCACGATCTTACCATGCTGTGTTGCATGCCGCACAAGATGCAACACAGACCGATCCTCTAAGTTTAACCAGAACTTCATGTACAACTGAAGGTGTTCTTGTCCCTTGCAGCACGGCAGCATGTAGTATTGAAGCTGAAAACAAAACACAATTCTCAGTACGATGACCCTGCAAAAAATTGGGATGGTTGACATAAATTGAAATGATCCATCTTCCGGCCCTTAACCTGAGGCAATATCAGGGACAAGAGAGCCAACCTATGATGACCCAGCTTTCCAACAACTCATGGAGGAAAACTTTCAGTTCTCCACAAATACATGCAAGAGCCTAACCTTGTCTACAAAATTAAATGCCAATTAAAAATGATGTATTGAGCAAAATTTCAATTTTTCTTTTACATTTTGGAGAAAAACTGCTCTTTTTGGTTGTGAACTGTATTACTGTACCTTCAAATATATTCAAGAAGCTGAAATTTATCAACGTCCACTTCCTTTCACACAGGTACTGCTCATCAAATCTCGTGTCAAATTCAAGGAGTTATGACAACATTTAGAAGGCACTGGTAAATTTGTAACCAGTTCATTTCAGCTGTCCTGGTCACTTATGTCAGGATCATTTCACAAACTTTGAACTTGGGTCAGCTGATGGGTCAAAGTTCATGAGATTAAGACAAAGGCGTCCAAACAGGGCAGTGGCTGAATGCAAAGAGAAAACAATCCGAGAAGATATATGAAGAAAAAGAAAAGAACCTAGAGAACATGCATTAGCCTTTAATAGGAACTCCCAAAATTTCACAACTCACCGTACAAAACTTGCTGCATGATCCCCTTTTTAATCAGGCTTGTAGAATATGCTGTATAGGTTGGTAGCTGTCGATGATGCAAACGCAGGCATTGATGCTAAAGCGGGTGCCACAGAGGCAGCCGAGACAGGTGGCGGGGGCTTAGGCTTGGGAAGGCGATCCTCCAGGGTTGGCGTGTCATCATCCATGCCGGGAACACAGACGTCGGCCTCATCCATCTCCTCAAGTGACATCCTTTTAGGCGGAGGGAGGACCGGTCCAAACATATCGGCCTCTTTGGCCTGGGTTACAGCTTGCTTGACATGGGCTATTTGCTTGGAATGAGCCGCCCAATCTTTAGGTTTGTCCTTCGGTGCTACTGTCGGGTCTGACTTGGGAACTGGTGCGCTTTGTTTCGCTTCGGTTGGTGGTTTCACCGGCTGTGGCTCTTCCTCCACACTCTTGCCCTTGAACGCATTGGCGATGTCGGACGGGGTCATCTTGACAGCTTGCAGGTTCTCCTTGGCACTGCCTTCTTTGTCCTTAACGACAGGCAGTGTGTCAAAGGTCAAGGACTTCTTGGACGAATCGGGGAACACATTCTGCGGGACCAGCTTGCTGGTCTGCGGGAGCTTTGGAGTCGCCGTCTTACGTAACAGGAACCTGCTGCTGGGCCCTTTCATCTTGCCCACCATGGGAGCGATTTTGGCAGCAAGGGCTGCCTTCTTATCAGCTGCCGTTGGAGCGGTGCTCACGTCAGGAGCAGGAGGCGGAACTGGCTTGGGTGGTTTGGCTTCCACTGGCGGCGGTGGTGGTGGTGTCTTTTCGGGCTTGCTCTGCAACTGGTTTTCGGACTTGGTTTTATCCTCTGCCTTGGGCTTCATATCCTCGCAGCGCTCCTCGCTTTTGGTGGAGAAGTCAAACATCCCAAACCCGCTTTGTCCCTTGGTGCCCACCATCTTGATATCCTGGTCCTCCGTCTTGGTTTTCTTGAGTGGCACCTCGTCTTCTTCCTCCGTGTCGCTGCCGGCATCCTGTTTACGCTTTTGCTCCCTCTCCTGGTTCACGGCCAACTTCAGTTTCTGCGCTCGACGGGCTGCTTTCTCAATGCCGAGACGCTTCTCATAGTGAGAGTTCTCCTCCAGAAATTTCTAGGGGGAAAAAAAGGAGTGCATCAATAAGGCATCGCCCTTCATCCCTATTTTACTCACAAACAGGTCCTCCGGTGGTAAATTATATGTAGCGTACACACAGCCATGCTCTGACTATCCCAGAGGAAAGTGCACTGGTTCCCACTGTCCCGACAATTTAACACCCTCCCATAGACTGAGCAGAGGTGCTTGCCATAGGGGACAGAACTGAACAAAGGACCGACGATCAAAGACAAGAAATGCCGTTTCTTCCCTTTGAGTGTGTCTGCCTTTTATGGAAAAGTAAAACGTACAGCAGGACATATTAAAGCTGCTTTTTCTACTGTCCAACTTCATGCACCAAACTCAAAGATTTATCATCATATCAAAGCAACTCACAACGCTTGAAATCCTTGACCACCACCGTGAGAGTCTCTCCAGTTTCAAATTTTGACAAAGCTCTCTATTTTTACCTGTGAGACTTTATTTAACTTGGTTTCAGTGATGCTAAGGCTACATCTCAGCAATGGCTGACCCTAACAGAAAAACATCAGTGGCTTTCGGCCACTTGTCGACCTTGGCCACACTGCATGCACTGTTCAGCCCGTGTATAACAAAGTCCTTGGGCCGTTACAAATAGCCTTGGTATAGCAGGAACCTAGCATTATCAGGAACAGAACGCAAAGAGTTGGAACCAAAGTGGGATGCTGGATTCATAGTTTATTGACGGGGTACCAACAATCTACAGTCTACTTTTAGGCCTATACTTTTTGAAAAAGTAGGGAGAGGTAGAATAAGTCATTTCCAGGGGATTTACAATACCTCATAGCCACGATTGTGTTTGGACGTCTTCAGATGCTCCGTGGCACAGACACCGTCCCCAAAGAACTCCTTGCAGAGACGGCAGAAGAATCCATTGACTGGCATCATGAACTCTGTGCCTACATGCACACAGGAAATATTTCACAACTAGATTAAACAGTACAAGACCCTTTTAATGCACAAACTTATGTATGGAATGTTTTAACTACACTGCCCCATAAAGAATTACATCAACAGTCCAATCATAACACCAACAAGCAACAGACGTCATAGGAGCACACCAAACATATTAAAGGTTTAACTATCTGTTCCTGTTCAGAGGCAAGTAACTCCAACACTGCACTGTTGGCAAATATTTTGGCCTGTAAGTTTTGCAGCTTTCAAATAAAAAAAAGGGCCAATTTGGGATTGAAAACTAAAACAAAATTCCAAGAAACAAAAACATAGAAAACTGATTTGTTTGCAATGGCACTTCAGTATGAAAACAAGAAGAATGGAAGTACATCAAGCTGAGCCATCCCTTGCACACACTTCAAAATCTAAGAGGCAGTCTGGGTGGACGTCACTGAATTTAGGAAGGTGCAGCTAGGCCACCGTCATTCTGCATTGGGGCGTGTTGCCTGGGTAGGGATCCTACACAAGAAAAGGTTCTTCAACCATTCAGGAAGACTTGGCACAAAAACAGGTCCGTTATTTTGCTTTTTCATTTCAAATCGAAGGCTGAAGTTGAAATTTTCATCATTTACATGTACTTAAAAGTTTTCGAGTGTAAGAGTAAAAGAAACACACATGCCAACTGAGCCAGAACCCTAAACACTAACCATTGATTAAAAGTAAGATAAGGTATGCAGCCTACTTGGGATAAGTTTTCTAACCTCTGATGGGGGCATCAATGGTGTTAGCAGCTTTTTTCTTTGTCTTCAAAAGTGTCTCCTGCATCCACGGACGATCATATGGATCACAGTTCTTCTTGTTACAAACATCAGCACAGACCAGCCAGCACCGGAGTGAGGTACATCCCAGAAAAAGAGCAGAAAAGAGATCAACCAAGGATATCACGGAGACACATACATACAGCAAAATATTTTATGATGCAAATCTAAAGAGCGAACAACATTGGCAGGTTATTTCACATTCCTTCATAAATCGAACAATCCATCTCTTCTTTATATGGATCTGTATTTAAGCATACAATGATGCAATTTTTACCTTGTTGAGCACATTGGATGAATCGTCTAGATCTTCCATTGTGAGGTGGAACTTACTTTAGTTGTTACTGCTTGATGAGTGAGTTCCGGGAGTGTTTAGTATTGGCAAGAACACGGTGCAGGGTTTACCATGGTCAAGGTGGCAATTGAGCCACTTTAACTTCAAACAAAATTAGAGTTATATGCTGATAGAACTTGTGATTGTTTGACACACTTTCCTTGAATGAATGGTATGATTCAAACCAACTAAATGAAGGTGCTTTAACTAAGAATGCCTGACATTTTCATCGCAGAAACTCATAACTTTAAAGAAATAATTATGACAAATAATTGACAAAGGTCGAAATTCAACTAAAATGGAAACTTTAAGCAAGCGGGATGAAGAACGACATGTACTGTAAGATGAGTTACACTAGGTTTTACTTCTTGCATCATTGACTGTTTAGCCAGTAGTCCTTGACTGCACTTGCTCCAGGCATCCAAGTAAAATGTTACTGAATTAATCTTTGGAACCGACAAATTATTGAAAGTCACAGGCATGGTACCACATATAGAGGATTTTCAGTCACATGATTTTTGACGGTCAGCGTTCAAGTTACACAGATGTGTGTGAAAACACGCCTTCGATGTCTCTCAACATTCTGGCATACATAAAATTGCCAGCAGAAATACACAGGTTCTAAAATGAACGTGCCTCCATGGACTTGGTAGGCTCACTGAAATGCCTTTGCCCGTCATGTTACGTCACATGAAAAACCTCTATTTGCCCACAAAGATCAACAACATCACCAGCGTATTTTGTGATGCCTATGCCATCCAATTCACTGGAAATCTGGTTACATTGCTTATTAATTAGGGGTAATCTGTCACTATTTGTCCCTAGCCACAGACTGTACGCAAAGTTTTGTAAGCACAACTTCACTCCAGACAATTCCAACACCATCGACAAATGCTTTGTCCTTGTATGCCAGTTTCGAGAGAAAAAAAAATAAAGTACTCTTGATGAGGCAGCAATCCTTGGCTGAAACACTGTTCAGGTTTCTTAGCAGTTGAAGAGATGCTCTCTGTAAAAAGTCACAAATTACAAAGACAGAGAAACTGATTTGGCGGTAACAAGGAAAATCCTCTGCAATGAAACCTCCATCACTTGAAAGAGCGACTCCTACAGAAAAATAAAAAAGTTGAAAAAAAAAAACAGGCCAATCAAACTCAATGCCAAAAAATGGGACCAGCCACTCTCACGCATGAAAGACTTGTGAACAACAGACAAGCAAGGAAATACCCCGGAAACCTTACCTTGGCGTGCATTTTCGAATGCAGATGGATAAAGAAATCATTCAGCGTGGCAGACTGGACATTACAGAGTTTACACCAGTGATCTCCTGGGTCATAGTAAGTGAACTCGAAGCGAAGCAGCTTGTCAGATTTCTCACTGGACTCTGCCTCCTTCTCCACTTTAGGCTGAACATCCTTGTAAAGGAAACGATGCAACATGTTCACGACATGACAATAGCACTAAACATAATTATTCCAAATTACTTTTAAAATGTTTGGTCGTTGATATAAACTTAAAACAAGGCAGGATTTTTTTGCCACTTATGGGAAGTCATTTCAGAGAAGAAAACAATTGACAAAAAGCAGCTTCTGAAACTTCAAAACATTACATAAAAATAATTTAATTTATAATAATATAATTTTCCAAACACAAGCCAATGCACACACTTAGCCTTGACTTTCATGGAATTCAAAAGCTGATTTGCAGTAACTTCTCAGAAAGTGTAGAAGTTAAAAACTGAAAAAAATCACAATGTGTGGGTTTTGCCCCTGAACTGAAAGTTAATAAATGACCTCAGTTTCTGATATCATGGAGACTTTGACAAAAGTCACTTGTTAATTCTGTACTAAATATTAACCTGACGGTCATCTGGCTTCTTTTCCTTTGAAATTTTGGTGGATTCCCGGTCCTTGCTCGAAGTTCTTGTGGCATCTTTGGTCACTTCTTTGGGTGCTGCACGTTCCTTGGAGTCCCTGGAAAGACGCTCAGACTTGGAGGATTTGGAACTGTCCCTGGACTGCCTCCTCTCGGGTGATCTGCTGTGACTTTTTTCTTTGCCGCCACTATCCCTTCTTTTCTGCGCCTCCTCTCGGTGCTGGTTCATCTTCCGTCGAAGGGCTCTCAACTGATCACAGATCTTGTCCTGCTGCGCATTATTATCTGACAAGAGTGAATCTCTGTGTCCTGAAGTCATGTACATCTGGCGCTTTATCTCTGCATTCTTCTTGCAGAGCTTCTCAAGTTCCGTTTCGAGAGAATCTATTTTGTCCCGGAGCTCTTTAGTGTCAACTGAATCTGATTCCAAGAGCCTCTGAAATTCTCTTTCCTTTTCTTTTTGGGCTTCTTTTCTCCTTCTCTCTTCTTCCTCTTTCCTCCTTCCGCTCTTCATCCCTCTTCTTACGTTCTTCTTCCCTTTTCCTACGTTCTTCTTCTTTTTGCTTTCTCTCTTCATCTTCTTTACGCCTTCGCTCTTCTTCCTCTTTACGCTTCCGTTCCTCTCTTCTGCGCTGCTTTTCCTTCTCAATGAGCTCTTCGGCCTCCTGGCGCAGCCTCCGTTCTTTCTCTCGCTCTGTCTCAATGATCTGTTTTACCTCATTCGCATCTCTTCCTTGTTGGTAGCGCCGTTCAATTTCAAGTATTCTCCTCTGGCGCTCATCCATCTCTGGGTCAGATTTGGGCAGCATGACTACGCGGTTAGAGCCAGATGACGAGTCCCCGGCTGTGTTGACCGAAATGAAGATATTCTCCGGCTGAAAACTAGGAATATCTCTGGTCGTGTTGGCCCCCAGCATGGAATCGTGAGGGGAGTTAACAAACTGCACCGTCTGTTGGATGGGTGGGTACTGCTGGCTTTGATGAGGTGCACCAGTCCGCGGTTGTTGTTGTTGTTGTTGGCCTTGGGTGTCTTGATAATACCCTTCTTGAGGCTGAGCCATGGGATAAGAATCTTGATACTTCACCTCATGTGACTGTTGGTCTGGGACTTCGTGTGGCAGATACTGGTCATAGCCATGGGCTGATATGCCTGCTTGCTCAGTGACATACTTCTCTTCTGTGGACGGCCTATGGGTGCCAGTATGAGTTTGGATCTTCCCGATTTCTTGTGATTCCTCAGATTTTGCAGTTTTGCAATCTTGCGATCCTGATGAACCAGATGTTTTATCTCTCTTCTCGGAGACCTCTCGCTTGTGCTTCGAGACATTCTTTTTGGCATCTCGGATGAAGTCGTCCAACTCTTGATCCGTCTTCATTTTTATACCCTCGTCCAGAAAAGATGCTGTTTTGTTCAGACCCGTTAGGTTATCCTCAATAACAGGGGCAGCTTCCGTCTGTGCAGGTTCTACAAGTTTCTCCGAAGGAAGGTGAGCTGCATCTTTTTTAGGTACTTTCTTTGGTTCCTTTGACTTTGAGGCTTTCTTGCCCTTCCCTTGTTCTTTCTGGTCCTTCTGCTCTTGGATTTTTTGTGCCAAACTAAAATCAAAGCCAATAGCTGAGAGAATGTTCTTTATCTGATCTTCACTTGGAACTTCAACTTTGGGGGCCGAGGCCTCTGGTTGAGAAGGCTTGACTGCTGGAGCAGCTTTCTGTTGTTGGGTACTCTTTTCTTCCTCATCCGCATCGCCATACAAGAAGCGGTCCTCATCATCCACAGAAACAAACCCGGTATGTGTCTGCTTCTTCAGCTCAGGTGGCTGTGGGGCAGATTCGGCCCGGTAGGGATTCGATTGGTCAGAATGACTGGCTCCAAATAACCCTGCCTCTTTAGATGGCGTGTAGGAGATATGCTGCATCTGGGGCTGTTCTTGTGCTCTTGTTGCTGGCTGGGGCTGAATGTCTGCCTGCGCATGCATCTGGATAGGATGGCTTGACCTTGCCTCCAGATCCCCACTGGGAAAAAGCTTTGGGATGCTGGGCTGGGAGCTTGTTGTACCAGCGGTCTGACCAAGACTCTGGGCAAGCTCCCTGATCTTACTGGCAGTAACGTCATCTAAAGCCAGCGATGGAGTAGTGGACTGCTGTGAAAATACTGGGTATGACTGCCCAGTGCTAGGGGTAAAGACTTGCTGGGAGACGGTAGGGTAAGGCTGCTGTGACGTCACAGTGGTATGTGTCTGGAGTGACAAGACTGGATGCACCTGATGAGTCCCTGAAGGAAACATCTGCTGTGATGCAACAGGAGTAAATTGATGCATTGATGCGGGTGTTACCGGCTGGGGGACCAAAGGGTGCATTTGTTGAGATACTACAGGGTTGGCCTGCTGAAACAAGTCCTGTGGGATCTGCTGGGAACTGGCAGGATACAGCTGCTGCGGCATTGGCGCTTGAGAAGATGCCTGACTGAACACGGCAGGCTGTGGTACCGACTGTTGAACAGGCTGCAAAACTGTCTGCTGCATGGGTTGCTTCGCAACCTGCATCTGCTGCTGATACCCAGCACTGTCACTCTGACTGGCAACGGGAGCAGAGGGTGCTGCTCTTTGGTACAGGCCAGTCAGACTACTCAACAAGCTGCTTATCTTCTCTGCAGACAAGTCAATCGGCGGAGCTGCGGCGCCTGGGATATCAGCAGCACTCCTGGGAGGCTCCTGAAGCTGCCGCGCTTGCTGATCCAGGGGTGCCTGTTGATGAAGCTGAGGAGTTACGGATGCCAGGTCTGGTTGGCTATACACAGGTAATGGCTCCAGTTGAGGAGGTACTGGTGACCGAGTCGGTTCGGGTGCACGTTCCTGATGGGGAGACTCAGATGGCTGTGCTTGTGCAGCAACAGGAGACTGCCGGAGAACATTGCCGGGGGACTGGTGAGGGGCGGTGGCAGGGGACCGGCCAGCTGTGTTCTGCGGGGACTCCTGAATCGGAGTACCCGCTGCGGCGTTACTTTCTTCTGGGGCCACTTTCTTCAGAATTGATTTCTTCAGAATTGACTTCTTCAAGATTGACTTCAGGGCTTTGGGCGGTTCCGCCACATCAGGTGCACTCTCGATTGTTTTGGTTTGATTCACTTGAGACGACGCCGAAGACGATGCATGTCTGGACTTAGTTGGCATGGGTATGCCAGGTCGTTGAGAACGTTTCTTGTCCTCATCCTTTTCAGAGCTCTGCTTCTTTGACTCGTTTTTACCAAGGAAATGGTAGAGCGGAGGAACATCGCTTGGCGGCAAAGGAGAAGGTGTTTTTTTGCTTCTTTCAGCCAGGAAATCTTTATCTCGGCGTGGATCTCGAGGTCTGGCCGCCTCCTTGAGTTTCTCATCCCGCCAATTTCTGTCAGCATCCCTCGCTCTGTCTCTCTCTCTTTCTTTTTCCTTCCACTGGTCGTCTGGCCGTGACCTGTACTGGCCTCTCTCTCCACCCTCTCTCCTGTCATCCCTTTCTCGGTCGTACCGGCTCCGCCGATGCTCGTAATCTATCTCCTTTTCCTTGCCGTTATCTCTGGGAGAAGGGGCGGAAGGATCCAATCTTGGCTTTTCTAGAGAGCTGCTGCGACTGCGATGAATGCGGTCAGCACCTGGGTTGGCAGGAAGTTCTCTGTACCGCTCTTCCCTTTCCAAGCTGAAACAGGAAACAGCAAAAATGTACTCATTTTATGCCAAGAAAAAACTTGTAAAACTTCATATGTCTTGAGTTGAGATGTTTCAACAGCTAATCATGTAGAAACTATTCCACGTACTGCAACTGTAAATAATGTTACCAACAATGTAAGAATATGACTTGATCTGCTTATTTGTGTAATGAATACTAAAAAGTGTAACGATTCCTTAATGGTAATTTCAACATTTATGAATTTCAACAAATAAATTCCTATGAACTACATGTAAATTTGTGTTAATTTCCCAGTGAAGCATAAAGAGTGAAGTTTGAACTTGCAGATCCGTGCCAGCATAAGAGAGACAGAGATCTCAGACAGTGCTGATTCCTAAGGCGACTAGCCCAGCAAATCTTTCATGAAGTACATACTGTAGTTTGAGAAGCAACATTAGTTAGTGCCTGTGGTCAGAATGTCTTAATGGTACCTCGACTGTCGCTGCTGCTGGCCATAGTTGTGAGGACCCAGTGGCTGTCTGTCGCCCACCGGCCCAAGCCTGTCCAATGCAGATGACTTCTGATCCAGGGGAGCCCTAGCACTGAAGTAGTGCTCATTGCCAACAGTGATGCGAAGGGACTCAGCATCTGGCACATAAGGACCAACCTGTGGGGTCGACTGAAAAAAAAAATACATCAGATTTTAATGGACTTCTATTTATCAATTATAATCAAATTTTAAAGATTAGAAGGTGAGCCCTGAACCTTTAAAGAAAAATTTCTCTTTATCTTGAAAACACTGTACGAACATCTACATGCAAACCAGAGAGATAATGAGCGGCAGGATGCACATGTTTAACCACATATGCTGCACATGAATTTGAAATACTTTAACATCAGGAAATCTTCACCTCATTTAAGTGGTGATCTTGCATACTCCCGTGGATGCCCTCATCATACAGAGGCGGATGGCCATCGTCGCGCCCAGGCGACTGTGACCTCCGACTACCAGCGCTCCGGTTACTTTGGTCCAGGCCAGGAGACTGTCGGGAGTGCCTGTCAGAGGGACCCGCTTGGAACATGTCGATCGGCTCATGAGGGGGCAGCTCCACGGGCACCCTGTGATCATCTTGATCAGACGCTCCACCGAAGGGAGACACAGGAGGCGGGTGTTGGTCAAAGCCTTCCTCAGGAGGATCCGGCTGCGTATCGTCCCCCGGCGGCCACTGGTGGTCAGGAGGGGGCCACTGATAGTCTGGAACATCCTCCTCAGATGGGTGCTGAGGGTATCTTCCTTGCATGTCTTGAGAGAAATGTGGTGGTGGATTTGGGTCGCTGGCACCAGGGACCTGCGCAAAGACAAACACATACGAATGCAAGGGTATAGTCATTTTGCTCCAAAATTACATGAAGTAATAATGGAAGGCATAACTTTCGTTCCCAGTGCATCTACATCAAAAATGCTTTAATATTTTAACATCATTCAACATAAATCCAAGAACTGCAAATTGCTCTAACAATCACTTCACAGTCAATGTGCATTTACTTACCTCAATAACCATGATAACAAGTTTACTGAGAAATGTATTGAAGCCTCCAAAATGTCTCTTTTTTTATTTTTCCCCGAACTGTTTTCTTTTTTTTATCCAGATATTTCATTCATTAAAAATATTTTTCATGTGAATTCACCCGATGGAAATTTGTGTACACTGTATGAGGCGAGCACTAGATAATGAAAATTACACAGTGCCAACTTTCAAAACTCCTTGCGGAAGGAACTGAATCTTCTTACAAAACCAAAGAGCAAAACATTCCTCTTTGTTGGCCACATACATTTCATCGAACAAATCCACTTGTGTTGCTGTACTGTTTTCAGTAACCATCCCAGAATCTGGGTATGAACCAACAGACAGCTCCAGCTGAAGTTTTCACCTGTCATTTTCTGCCCGTATCAGATATCACATACTTGTGTATGCATCACATGGGGGAAGGAGGAGAAAGAGAAGGTTTTCAAGCTCCACACAGTCATTTTTTCAATTTTCACACTGTAATTTCTCAGGCTTTTTTTAGCAATCGAAGATGTTCATCTCAAGGCTCCCCAGCGGCTTAAGTCAAAGAGATCTAGACTTTGTGGCAGAGGGCTACTTCATGTACCAGGTATATTTACGCATCTGAAAAGTCTGCATCCGACATTCTACATCTGAGGCAAACTTAACGCCGCACTTCAGCTACACGCTTTGCTGCGCAGGGCATAATCTGCCTGCCTGCAGGGATACGACTCTTCAACAGCTCTGTGTCCCGTTCATCTCACTTTTAAGGTAAAGGAGTGAAATCTGTACCATTTCTGTTTCCTGATTTACGCAGTCATTGTAAAATGTGATGATCTACAGTACATTTATCTAATCCAGATTACCCTGATGAGAAACTTATCAATAATGCATTATGTTCACACTTCAATGCTTTTTTTTTCTACTAAATCCACTGAAGGCCATAAATTGTAATGAACAGTGACATCTCTCAAGTTCCAGGATTGTAGTCTGAGCATTGCTGGAAGAAAGAAGAACCCCCCCCCAAAAGAAAGTATCCATATGAGGATAAAACATCCATACATAATTAAAAACTGTTTTCTTACACCTGAGAGAAATTTGAGATATCATAATAACAAATGGATGCTGAGAAAATATATCAGGTTTAAATGACCGGCATGATTTTTATCAAGTGAACGGCAAAATTATGGTAGCAATGCACGATCCATATAAAACAGATTTAAGCCTAATTGCATCTGCAAAAAAACTAAAATACAAATAGGCCTAATGTCTGAGCTATGGGTACATGTAACTAGCAATCATTTATACAGGAGCCAATGACTAGGCCTACCACAAACTAATTGTAAATGCAATAAATTGCACTCTCATCAGTTGATCGAAAAATGCTTTTTTCATGTCAAAGACTGTAAAACAAAAAGTATTTTTGCAGTCTACGAACTAACAATTTGAGACAACTACAGTTATCTGTGCATGTAAACTGGATCCGTTGAAAGGAATGTGGGATTACTATGGTTAAAACCCCCGGGATTTTTAAAGTAAGCAAGATGTAGCAGTACGAGTCCAATTTTTGGTTAAATCAAGTGCAACAACTACTGACCCCTGCGGTGATTAGCATACTTGCTCAATAACGCACAATGTAGCTTCATATTTTGCAATACTCAAGAAGTTCCAGCACCGAATGATATATTGCACATGTATGCTAGGACAGGTCACATACATACAGCGACCACTGTAGAACATGCTGTCATCCATGGACGTGCTCAACATGTGCACACAAACCATCAGAAAATGAGTTTTGAGATTAACCTACATGTAACTCTAAAATTCCACTTATACTGTGTGTATGAGTACATGTAAGTGTTAATAAGCACTAAGTATTATCTACTCTGGGCCACAAGGGTATAAAGTTTCACAAGGGTCTAAGGTTCAGACTGACAATGAATCAAAGTATTTCCTACTTTTGAATTAAGTACATGTACATTGAAATTTTGACTTTTGAAACAACTAGGAGCAACTTTCCACACAGTGCAATCCTACTGATTTGGGATGTGTGATCAAACCCACATGCCATCGCATGCCTAAAAGTAAATATATCATTATTTTATAAATCTCCTAGCAAAACAGCTGAGCAGCACGGCTTCTGCTAGCCAGCAGTACTCCACCAAGTTGACGGTACCATGGCCGAGCTGAGTAGACTTATGTACTTGCACCAATGGCCGAAGCCGCATCAAGTCATCGTCACCGGCCAATCAGCTGGCGTCACAGAAATAACAGCCAGCATCTTTACATAACGTGGTTTCATAACATTACACGAGATACATTGTGCGCTGACACTGTAAAGATGGAAGGATTCTAATAGAGTTTTAAGTGCATTTTTTTAACAGTGCATTCAAGCTGTGGGAAAGAATGAAAGACATTGGATACAAATTTAAGTAACGCGAGATGGCGGCAGGAAGTTCGCCTTGGTTTTGAGAAGTTTTTCCATATTACTTAAGTCTCCTCGCTGAACAAATGTGGTCAATTTGACACAAGTACAAGGTTTGTGCCAGAAAACGCGCATACAGCTTTACCGTGCCGTGTAGAGTGCACATGAGACTCCATCTCCCATCTCCGAAAATGGTCCAGCCAATATCGTTAGTGGCCAAGATGGCAAGTCGGCCCATGGCCCATCAGCCCAATTCCTGCCTGGTTGGTGCACTCAAAGTGTATGATACGCTCAGTTCAATATTTTGCATGCCAGCCGCCTTGTAGCCACGCCCTTACGTTCCATAAAAGGCTACTGAGGTCATCTAGTGGCCAAACAAAACAATTTTCGATTGGATGCTGCGTTGCGCGTTCCACTTATTGTACTACTCAAATCAAAGGCAAGTTGACAGACACTGCACTATCACGTCTATCGCTGTGCAAACAGATACACTCAGGCAGCACTTTCGCAGTCACAATGTACATGTACAAGTACGTGTACAGTCTAGCCGTACGCAGTGCATAGCCAGAGCAGTGCGTATAATTTGTATACATGTATCAGAGAATTAAAACGTTTGTGTAGTAGGTAGGTATGCATAGGTACATGTGTGCAGATCCTTTTACTGCTGCTTTATGATTTCGGATTTGAAATGTTGTTTGGATAGTCTTTTTGTGAAAAAAGGGCCTTATGAAAATTTTTTGTAAATAAAATATTTTCCCGGCGGGGTGTTTTGCCAGAGGTGCAAACCTAAAACTTTCATTCTCATGGCCTAAAGAAAGAAGAACCACATTTCTTCCTACCGCCAAGACCGATCTAGGTTAAGTTGCATTTAACAAAGGTTTTCATTTCGTTATTAGGTACACGACTTCAGGGTGAGTGGATCATTGGCATGATTGGAGATCAAACTAACAGTAGCCTTGGCCCTACTCAGTAGCACTGCGATTAAGTGCAAAGTGCCCTCAATGATTCACAATCTACAAAACATGATCGCATTACATTTGTACTTGTTGCAGAAGGCGTTCAGGCCCATAAACGTAGAAAATAGTGCGCTTCATCATTTCATGATTATTCACTACATCCGTCACTTTCTCCTTGCAGTCTTGGCCTACCTGAAAGTCTGCCATATCCATTGGCTCTACAGCACCCTCGTGTTGGGGTCTCTGGTTCGGCGGGGCCGGGGGTCGATCGCTGTGTCTGTCGCCCCTTTGATGATGATCGCCACGGGGCCCACCATCGAGGCTACCGCCACGAGGGTATCCCCCACCATGACCACTGCCGCGACCGCCGCGATTTGATCCGCCGCGGAATCCACGATTTCCGCGTGGATGTCGTCCACCTCGCCCTCTCCAGCCCCTGTTCATTTGACCTAGGGAGTAAGATATTTCAACAGCTGGAAGATTCTGATGCGTTACTGATGTAAAGTTTGCTATTTCATGCAATTTTCGTAGAGAAAACCCTCGCTTGGGACAGTCAGACAGCCGCCATCTTGATTCAGTCGTCTTTTAAAACGCGTAGTTCGTGTAGCAGTGGCAGACGCGCTACGCGTCGGCGTGTTGTGTACACGGCCTCTAGCATTTGTGTACAATTCAAGCAAGTCCTCCAGTTTACAGAAGTAAGAATTTAATCAAACTCCATTATAATTCATAAAATCCATAAACTCCATTCATAATTCTATTATAATTCATAAATGTCGATTTCCTAAAGTTCCGATGAAATTTTATTTTTGCGCCAGGTTGGGGTACTCAGCTGAATTCTTGCCCAATTTCTGGGAGGCTGACATGTTTGAATTTCGGACAAAATTCCATCACACTGATATGTATCGTGACGGCAATATTATCACTATTTAACCGAGTGGAAGTTGAAGATTTTTTTTAACAAAAGGTTTGGCGGCACGGTATGAAGAAAGGTGGAATACTGTGTTAGAAAATTATTTGGCAATCCCTGCTGTTTGCACCTGCCTTTCTCCATCGTTCACATGTGTATGTAGAGGATTTGTCAAGGTATTTTAATGTGTATTGTTTAGGAGAGCTTGCTTGCTAAGCGTTTTTTTTCTGAACATTATTTTATTCAGCGTTGTTACTATATTGTTACAGTGCACTCTGAGCGGGAGCAAAAGAGGATGTGTATTTTTTAAACAAATTTTGTCTGTTCTTTGGTACCAACTCACCACAAACTGGCACGCAAGTTCAAGTTATGCGCGTTTGAAGCGGCTACACTAATTAGCCGCTGAGCGCATAGTTTTACTACTATTTTAGGGGTATCTTCGGGGAAAAGCGAATACAATTTTTTTTTCGTGGCTAACCCCCATAAAATTGAAATGAAAAGGCCAACCTCTTAATTCAAGAGAGTCAACAGGAGGCGCTATTTTGGTCCGATTTTGCACGGTTTTCTATTTGGTGTAGTGCAACCCTCACAGTGACCGCGTATTAACATCTTTTATAACACACACCTCTTCCTGGTTCTTTATCCTAGTTGGCTGAAATACAGTCACCTGTGGTTCACAGTAACGTGTGGTTCACTAATATACACCACAAGTGACTGTATTTCAGCCAACTAGGATAAACAACCAGTAAGAGGCGCGTTATAACCCTGGGGATGCATTCGATTAGCTTACACGTGTAACTTAAACTTACACGAGAGTGTTCGATTTAGCCATCACGTGATCCTCGTACCTGCCTGGTGTACGTGTCAGCCACCACTACCCCAGCTAGCGAGCGGGTCTCTGAAGGCTGCCCAAGTGTAATGACGTCACGGATAAACTGTTCGTGCACATGATGGAACGTGGCAGGGACTTCAAGATTTTCAAGATTTATTTCTTTTTCTACAGCATAATAATTACACGCGATACTAATAAAACTTTTAATAAATACATAATTATGACTGAATACTACAATACACTTTAGAAAGGATGCTGAAGGCGGGTACCAAGTGAAAGCAATGCTTGTAGATTTGGGCCTCGTTTGTAACATTACTTGTTAACATGTAGTTGCAAGCATGTGTAGCCTGAAACCAGAATGGTATGTTAAATTAAGATATGTGTTAATTGCCAAAAACACAGAAATACGTGTATATACGAATTACGAATATGTATTTAACAAAGAGATCTTATATTTCTTTTTAAAAGCTGACAGAGTATTTAAATTTCTAAGTGAATTTGATAATGAATTCCACAACTTGGGTCCCTCATATTTAACAGTTCTTTGGGCAAGGAGAGTACGGGTTTGTGGGAGGTGAAGGTGAGAGGTTTGACGAGTGAAATAAGTATGTAGGTCAAAATTACGAATGATTGTTGCCTGAACAAGAGAAGGTAAGGTATTTGTAGTAAACTGGTACATGAGAGACCCAAGTTGGTGGTAATATATACCCTTAATTTTAAGAGTCCTACACTGAGCAAATAGAGGGTCTGCATGAGCACGATAATCAGCAGAGCAAATTATGGGAAGAGCCCTTTTTCTGTAGAAGTAATAGTCTGTCAACACTATTTGATGAGCATTGTCCCCAGATAAGACTTGGTGTACTATAATTCAGGTATGATAAAATTAAAGTATTATATAAAGATAATAATACTGGAAAAGGGACACAATGTTTAATTCTACAAATGACCCCAATGTTTCTGGATATTATGTTACACAAATAATTAATATAATACTTCCAAGTTAATCCAGTTAATCTATATAGACCCCAAGAAATTCAAGACAATCAGCTTTCTTAATTGAAGTGTCATCAATTATTATATCCCCGGCAAATTCATGGGCAGAGTTGTTAAACAGCATATAATTAGTCTTAATGATAATTTGTTAGCCTTAAACTAACTAGCAATAGATTTCAGCTCTAAATTAACATTTTCAATAAGTGAATTTAAGTCATTATGTGAGAAAAACAGGTTTGAGTCATCAGCAGACTTGACCTTTTTCCCGGAATGCCTTGGCGAATACGTTGCAGCGTTCGATTAGCCTCATTCCGAGGCTGCCCTTGCCTGTAATACTGGTGTATTCTGGGAAGCTTATCGAATGCACCCAATGAAGGGCTAGTATAGTATTTGGCGTTTGCATGACTCGACACATGCCTTGACATGGCGCGTGTATCAATTCCAGACCAGGGTACTAGTCTTGAAGGTACTTAAACAATTATTTGAAAAGTTTGAAAAGTGAAAAGTTGAATTTTAACATTTAAAACGCGAGAGACTGTGAGTGACCAGGAGAGGGTCCTTTTTCCTAAGGCCAGTCCATATTAGTATAGTAATGCCCGTTCCGGTTTGATGATGCCCGCTGGGTACAGCACCTGCTGGATACAAGACAGTTTAACTCAATGGGTGTGTTCGATTAGCTTCCCTGAATACACCAGTGTTACACCAAGGGAAGCCTCGAAATGAGGGTAATCGAATGCTGTAGTGTACTCGTCAAGGCATTCTGGGAAAAGGGTCAAGTCCCCGCCACGTTCTATAATGTACGGCCACTATTGATCAGCTGTGTGCGCTGCGCGTGCGGCATGCAGAACTCGCTATGTGTGAGCCATGTCCATAAAAGGAGATTCTTCTGGACCACTTGCCCAAGGGTGTTCGGGAAAATGAAAGTGAAATCCTTGAACAAAATCCTTGGAAACTTATCGTATATTGACATCTTTTGATTCTCTAATTGTACCGATATTTAAGAATGGGAATAAATATAAACGTTTGTTCAAGACCAGCTCAGGAGACTGAATGCTTATAATGCCCTCGCCTACTGCTCTAGCATCATTCGTATCCGTTTCCCTGGGGCGATCTTAAACACGCGTTTGAGACCGGCCTAGCGCATAAGTATTCCCTTAATTTAAAATAAGTGGGGTGAAGCAGGCTAGCTATTGTTCCCCGGCCTTTTGACATATTAGTGACCACTAGGGACAGATCAGGACAAACAGAAACGTAGGGCTTGCATTACAAAATAAGAATCGAATATAATTGATATGATAGGCTTAGCCCGATAACATTCAAGTACAAACACGTTAACAGGAGACAAGCAGGAGTTTAATCAAGCCATTATAACGTATAACAAATTGCCAATAAGAACAGGGTTTTTAAGTTGTGATAAATTTAGAGAGTTAGGGATGTTTTAAGAGGGGTACTATAGTTTAGACTGTTCTAGACTCGACTCAAGGCGGGATCTCTGTGACGTCTTCGTTTCTGTTTTGGATACGTATCGAATGAGACTGCGCGCCGTTACTTGCTTCGCGCCCTCTTGTGTCCACTTATTACTATGAGTTCAGTTCAGAAATCCCGACTTGAAGAATCTGCCAACCGTTTGTACACAGCCAATGAGGTCATCTGCCAGAAGTGGCAGCAGACAATCACATTGCCGGACTTGTTTTTACGTCTTTCATGAACGAGTCTATAAGTCTGACTATTTTGATAGGTAGAAATTCCGTATACATTATGCGAGATCATGTCGTTCATATGCAATTATGAATAACTACATTATTACGGACAGGGGTCCGATTGGCTTATCCCTCAGGTCGGACTTACTGACAGGTGACGTATGACACACGTTCTAAATAAAGGCTGTAATGAGGGCGCCTTATAAGGGTTATGGGAGCTGCCGGGCCGAGCGTGACGACCGTGTAGTGCATACCGGCTGAAGGGATAAGGAATACCAACGTAAGTCCGACTTGATTCAAGTCTAAGACTATTCCAGAAACAAGTACCACGTTGAACTTTTCCATTTGACCACCGTTGTTCAGCTAAAACCAACATGAAACGTTTACCTTACCTTCAACACATTCCTATCGATAAAACCACCGGAGTCTGCTGCGTAATTGGTTTATTGCTCTCACTTCTCTTCGTCAAAGTTCAATGTGGGTTTGAAGAAGGTGTAGCCTAACATTAATACAACACATACAAGACAAAGTTATAGAGCGGCGAAGTTGTATACAAGTATAAAGGAACTACGGTTTGGCAGGACCGTTAGAAATGCAAGTCAGGCGGAATGGGCACGGTACGCCGGGTGCAGTGTATCGCATCGTGCAACTAGGCTACACTATATGGAATTCAATATCTGCGGTCGCCCGTCGTGCATCGTCCGTCGTGCGTCGCCTGTCGTGCATCGCCTATCAGATGGGTTGCATGAGACCTGCAAAAGCCGGGGTATAACAAATGACAATGTGATGATTCCATTCATTTCTAAAGATCTTTTCCAATAATGGCAAGTACAAATCCCACCTGCACAGCATATACTAGTCCCATAATTAATGCCAGTAATGCCACACTACCCCTGCCCCTTGACAAGCAAATGTCGCCTTTCTGAGAATTCAACTAAGCGTTTTTGGGGGAAAAACATTTTTAGCAAAAATGTTCAGGCCAACTTATTCACAGTCTAATTCTAATTTGCATACTGTAAAAATGTAGCGCCTTGTTTTCATCAAATTCTAGAAGAAATCTGCCAACCGATACAGATATTCCATTTTGTCCTCTCAATTTCACCTTGAAATACAGAAATACTAGACCGTGCTGTGGATAACAAAGTGTTTATTAAATGTATTGTTAGGGGGCAATTACCACTTAATTGGTTTAAGTTTCAGAAAATGTGACGTGTTGGTTTTTGTGGGTGTGTATGCCATGGTGGATAGACCAATGAGAACAGGTTGTCCAGCACATCAGCATTATTTATGGGGCTAACAAGTTACGTTACTGTTTGAAAGACTTCTGTGAGCTTACCTGCAACTCAAGTCCTGTCTAATTTGGAGTATACAACAGATTTCATCATAGGTATACCCGCCCTCCAAATAATGTTGAATCAATTCAATTCTTATGAAAAATATAAGGAATATCAAACATTGTAAATAATTTATTATTTACATTCCGTTCTGTGGGATATCGTGCAGGGACAGACAGAAATATTACATAGGCTATAGACCTCTGGTATCCAGACTATCCCGGGCCACCACGGTGACTAGCAACACCTGGATGGGGCCGCACTGCTACTCTTACCGCAATGTGATGAGCGCAGTGATTGGCTCAACGTAGAGTCGGGGAGGACGGGGCTAGTAAACAGGACCATGGAGGACCAGGGCGGCGAGGGACGAGGGATGTTTCGCCCGGCGATCAGTTTGGGCCGCTACGATGCCAGAGCTTGAACTCGCACTAGCACCCTGGATTAGTTCGTACCGCTCTCGCATTGGTCCTAGCTAAGCTAGCTGGGCATTCATAGAGTTATATTTCTTCGCCATAAGAATGGTTATTATTGCACTTCTCTGGGAGAGGGTCCAATTAACCCAGCACTGCATTATGTTTCGCTCCCGCAACAAGGGTTTGGTCCGCCACACCTGACCGACGAGCTAAGAAAAATCTGCTCTATTTATCTGGAGGCTTTGGAATTAATAAAATATGAGCGCAGTTGAACAGCTCAACCAATGGGATCTTCCATCTCAAAGGGTCACATGACTTCCTGCTAGAGAATCTAAGTGTCGTGTGTAAAAATGTGAAGTACAGAATAAGAAGTCACGTGTACAAAGGTAGAAACCGGGTGCGTAAAAGTGCTTACCCAATCATCTTTGGTGAATGACTGACAGTTACAAAGTCCGGGGTTTCTGAATATTAGAATTCCAGGGAATCTTACCACGCCCAACCACGGAGATGAATTTCCGACTTGCCAAACTCCGGAGAAAAAACACAAAGATAAGAGAGATAAGACATGGGAGTGAAGGAACACGCAACCACGCCAGAGTACAGCATAAATAACTTAATACGAAATTGGCTTCTCTGCTCATTTCCACACGCATGTAGCTTAGCTAAATGAGAGACATAGGAATGCAACGTGTGAGATCCAACAACGAGCTACAGACCCACGGAAGTGTTGCATGGTGTTCTACAGCAGCCAAAACTGCGTTGTGTCGTGCCGTCTACCTGTTGCTTCGAGGCCATAGTCGTCGCGTCGTGCCGTTGCATCGTGCTCTCGCTGTGGTGTCATTATCCTCTGAATGTAACCACCCGCCTCTATCCAAAATAGGCCCACAATTCGGGGCTTCTGTGGAAGAAATACCCTGGAACTGGAAACTACCGATCCCAAATTCGGGTATTTGTAGAAATATTTCAATCATCCCTCCTGATTATGGCATGTCTTATTGTCAAAGCCCCGTGGGATCACAAAATATTAATGAGCTCGTGAGCAGAAATCTAACAATTTGGTGGAATGCACCCATAGGCCCTAAAAGAGTTGATCATGAAAATGGTATCTATTGGTATTAAACTTAATTCCGTCTCTAAGGGCGCCCCCTATTTCCACCAGTGGGTGCGTTCGATTAGCTTCCCTGGATACACCATTGTTGCACGCAGGGGAAGTCTCGAAATGAAGCTAATCGAACGCTACAGCGTATTCGCAAAGGCATCCTGGGAAAAACTTCAAGTCCCCGCCACGTTCCATGATGTCCATGGTCAAACAGTCCATCTGTGACGTCATTACACTCGGGCAGCCTCCAGAGACCCGCTCGCCAGCTGGGGTAGTGGTGGCTGACACCAGGGCAGGCATGAAGATCACGCGATGGCTAAACGAACTCTCTCGTGTAAGTTTAACTTACGCATGTAAGCTAATCGAGCGCACCCATTCAGGGGCGACGGCTCAACACGACGCAACGCTGAAAGCCACGACGCAACAGGTCGATGGCACGATGCGACGGATCGACAGCACGACGCGACGGCCCGACAAGACAGTACGACGCGACGATACGACGCGACAGCAAGATAGCAGGACTGGATGCAACGACGCGACTCCACGACAGCACGACGCAACGCATAAAACATAGCATAAAAGTAATGAGAAAGGAGGCGACGCCACGACGCGACCCCACGACGCGACGGAGCTGTCGTAGCGTTGCGTTGTGGCGTCCGGGCGACGGGACGCAATTTTGGCGGCTATAGAACACCACACGGAAGAATGCCCTACATGGATAGCCGATGGGTTGGGGTGGTGACTCCTGCCTAGTGGGGATTATTTGCATTAGAATTACTTAAATTGCATTGTTATGATGGAAGGCACACTCCCTGGCATTCTTGCCAGATTAAAGTAGCAGGCAAAGATATTGTGAAGAAGTGACAAGGTTCTCTTGGAAAGGGAGGCGTTGCTCGAAAGGGTAACACAATAACTCTATGGCAGCGATTAAACTGATGAGCAGGATGGTTAAATGAAGAAACTGTCTGTTTATTATGCCCAGATAATTAGAAACAGGGGGTAGTGACTTGCGATTGGCTAGGATATCGTAGCAATCTTGGGAAACTGTGATTTGTGAACGGAATGGTGGAGCTGAAACCAGTGATGAAGTCTTGGAAATATATGGAACAGGAAACCGTGGTGACTGGGGAATAAACAGAAATAAATACTAATAAATTCACTGGAATGCACGTACATGTGCCCACTAGACGACAACATAATTGTACACGTAACGTTGCAACAATTGTCCCCGATTAAGGTTAAGGTTTGTACTCCTCTATTTTACATACCAACACAAGAATCACGATATGATCTTATACTATAAACACTAAAGAACATATGACTGTACTCACAATTATCAGTAACGCACGGTAAGGGCAAATTTGGAGGTATTCTAATTGGAAATGTGCTTGGTCACATGTTGGTAAACCTGATTTTAGAACGGAATGTACGGTGCGAGAATGAGCAAACTACTGAGGGCGCCCTACCAACTATTGCGCGGTCAGTCGACAGTGAGGGACTTTCCTACAGTATGTTTCCTTCCTCAACTTAGTTCTCCTTATTGTTCAGGGTCAGCGAGCTTTTGTGATGGAAACAAGGCGTTGCAATCGCAGGAGACGGGATCCAAGTGCAGTGCTGTGTGAACATAGGTGGGAAGTTCTGTTTCCGAAGCACACATACTGGTGAGTGTCGTAATTTTTTTGTCTGCTCACATGCGTTGTGCTGTACCCAAGCTTTAATTGTCTTTATTTTTGCACTCCATAGTCAGATGCTATTCCCAGGCGCGCCATATCCAGGTGGCAGCACGCGTTAGCATGCGTGGTACGTTGCTTAGTTTAACTGTTTGACATGTACAGACAGTTTTGTGTTCACGGCCTCCGAACTTTGTGTCTGAGAACCCTAAGATTATAGTGCTTTTAGAAGTTATAAACTGAGGGTTGAGCATCCATATATTTTTATGTAAGTTAAGCTCCATTATTGTGTTGTTAACTTGATTATGAAGGTTTCATTTTATTGTGATTTGGGGGTTTATTTTGTCCGTCTCAGTTTAGTAATGTATAAGATTATGTCAATCTACATGTACTCGTTTTTTACATGTACCATAAATCCAGAGTTGGATTCACGTATTTTGAAACTTATAGTTGCCATTATGACTGTCATCCGTTACAGAGACATATTGCTGGGTGAGTTAAACCCTTTTAAGAATATCTATGTCACTTCTGTACATGAGATTCTGATTGTGTCAGAGGAAGCCTGGAAGCCCACAAGTCTGTAAGTTTATTAATATTATTTTCATGTACATGTCACGTGGGCGACTGAATTCACACCATACGATCCCTTTGTCACTAATTTGGAGGTAATGGTATATATCTATATATCTGGATGTACACAACATCATGTTATTATTTCCCTTTGACAGAGTCATTTCACTAGTGTGTTTTTGGCATGTGAAGAGGAAACTGATGACAGTTTGATTTAGGGTTGTTTAATTGTGTGTTGACATAGTCAAGAAGTTTTGTACGTTTATTGGGGTTGGTTTTCAGAATTTCTTTCACAAATATGGAGGACTGACCTTATGTTTGTAATCTTTTGTTTTAACAGTTTTACCCACAAGCAATTTTCAAGGCACATAATACCAGTTCATGGAATAAAGACATTCTTCGAACTAAACTCTGTGATCTACTATTGCTTGAATTTTGGGGTTAGCTACTGGACAGGAGCCAGCGCTGTCAGTGCACACTCTGAGGCCAGTATATGCGTTTATGCATCCTGTACGTGCCCTTGTAAGCCCTGCCCGAGCATATTCTTTACCGTTTAGGCCTATATAAATGCATAGTTTAGTAGGTTATGCTGTATATTAAAATGTTAGGTGTAGAACTGGGTCTTTTGAGTACTGGTTAAACGCTCGTTGAGGATGGTATGTCCCTGTTGATTCGAGTGCAATACATCCCAGGAATTTACATGTCTTGGATTAATTTCGTTGCTATATATTACTTACTGTTATTAAATTGATGTTTTACTGAATTCATACTACCAATTTGTAAATAGCTAAATGATTCAACTGATGCTTCTTTGAATAAATGCCAGAGGCCAGTTGGCGAATGGCGGTAATTCGTGTCTTTGTAAGTTGACGTGTGTGTGTTCCCTTTTCTGGCTGATCCCTCGTTAAAAGGATTTGTTACAGTACCCACATTCCATCCTATTTCTTACAAAAGGTCAACCTATGCCATAATTGATCATCTGATCCTGCTTCATTTCCATATCATTATTGTTATATTAATATTATACATATGACTTTTTTATTTCTAGGTCTAAGGTCAAACTGTGCCAAACAGGCTCCCTCCGCTACTAGACGAAATACCTCCATGACCGTTCCGCCAAGGCTGTATCGAGTACAAATGTGAGTATTCACAGTCACCGTATTCTGAGCTTTTTATAATTCTCACACGGTTGACCTGTCTGCAGTCTGAATGTGCGTCGCTCTCGTTGGAACAGTAGCTGGATGAAGTGAAGTAAGTAAATGCTAACTGATTTGAATGAAAAAGTTTTGCGTTTAAAAACATTGGTAAGATACACCATTTGTTTCAAAGGTATGCACGTCAACATATGGCATCATTGTGGTTTTTCATAGATAGTGACAGAGCGAACCGGAAACCGGTATTTCTCCGCATCATCCCCAACAGGTAAGATGACTGACATCACACACACTTTACAATTTGAAAATATAAAGCTGGCGTTTTAGGTATTCAAATACAATATAGCTGATGGACAGAAAATACACTGATGTGGTGTTCAATAATTTTGTTATGATTACTCTGAAACTCAGGTTCTTTCTGTGTTTTCTTCTAGTCAAGGCAGTTCTGTTGAAAATTACAGAAATCTACGTTCAGCAGCATGGCTGACAACATCGCTATTGCCGTGCGATATTCCGTGACCGTTTGCGGTGCAGTGGCCGTGGTCGAGAATCTTCTGGCGATGGCAGTTTTTGCTAGAACGAAGAATCTTCGCATGAAATACTTCGCATTCATCTTCAACCGGGTCATGACCGACTTTATGTTCGGATTGTTTATTGTGCAGGTTATCTGGATCGACTCGCCAATTCTTCAGAGCATTCTCACTGCAAGTTATTCCGTGTCAATACTGACTATTTTTGCTGCGGCTGTCAACCGTTACTTAGCCCTGTCTATCATGCCACCTGCCCGCTACGACTCACTAGTGACTGGATATCGCTTGCTCGGAGTGTGTTTCTTGTTTTGGTGTTTTGGTCTGATATACGGTTTTTTGCTACATTACGCTTATGAACGTAAAGCTTTTTTCACGGTGAAAACATTTGGATACTCTGTAGGAGTATTCATTGCATGGGTTTTCACTGCATTAACTTACTTTTTGGCTTTTCGTAAAATCAAACAGTACAGCCTGTCCCATGCCGGAGTCGGCGCCGACAAGGAGCGAGACTACGTCCGAGTAAAACAGACTCGTCGTTTGTTGATTGTTTTCGTTCTCATTCTTGTTACGTCATTCTTTTCAAGGTTGCCGTTTGCCGTTTTTTCGCTGATTGCCTACTGCAATCGCTCCTTTTTATCCAATCAGATCTTTTCGGCGTCTTTTGAGATTTGTGTCCTGTTGTATGCGCTGTCTACTGTGATAAATCCATTGATCTACTGGTGGCGATTGGACGGTTTTAGGGCAGGTTTCTATGAAATGTTCTGTCGCTGTTGCATTAAGGCAAAACCGAGAGAAACTGAAGTTAAACAGATTGTAGGCCTATATGATAATACAGCTGACGAAACAGGCTTGTGAATAACATAGGCCCAATGGGAGGTATAAGACGAATTGCATGGGCCCATTATGACGTAACACTGTCAATTTTTTTTTATATACAGTGTACTTGTTTATTGTGCGGTGGTTTCATGATTGCATATTTGACAAGAAGGAAGCGAATTTTCATTGCTGAAGTTTAAAAATAACATTTGTAAATTCACCACCGACCATATGGATGAATTTTGCGATTTGGATTTTGAAAAGTGTTCAGCGGCTTTTCATTGCGGAATTCTTAGAGCTGGCATTGTTGCAAGTACATGGAATTATTCATAAAAGAAAATTAACACAAATACAGATAAATTTGCTTGTTTTGGCAAATAATTGCACCAATTTGTCTCCGATTTTTCATAAAAATTTTAAACTCTGATTTATTACATTAACTTTTTACTCAGGAATGAAACCCAAACAACACACATGTAACTTTTTCTCCAGTCTTTATTAAATGTAAAAATCACGTCACACAAAGCGTTCACATCTCCGTACTTAAAGCAACATCAACATTTCAACATCAATCAATTCAATGTAACATTGTCTCAGAAATGGCATCAACTCAAACTATAATTTTCGGGAAGCTGCACGGGACCAACGTTTTCCAACAAACAGTTCCTGTGATTACACATGGCTAGTGATTACCAACACGTCTTTCTCATCAACCTGGTACTTTTTAGCGGATACCTGTCATTATAGTAGGCTCCTGCCTACAGAATAAAAATTCACATCGTCCAAATGGTAATTTCAAACGTTTCCATACATAAACAATTTTAACAGTTAACAATTTGTGAGATAGCCCTTACACTTTTTTCAAGTTTGTCACCATTCTTAAGTCAACAGAGAGCCACAAAGCTACAGGAAAGCTACGTGTGGGTTCATGTACATGGCATCGATACATGTACATCGATTTAAATAGAATATAAAAGTCTGAAGTCGTTTTGCATGTCAAAGCTGTAGTACTTTATCAGCAGAGGACAAATTTGAATTGACATGGGTCACTAGAGCTGCTGTCCAGGGTACATATGTACACAACCACTTACGATATACTCAATTATGAAATGAAAAACTTGATAGGGGCTATTGCATTTTGTTTAACACAGATAATGTCTTGGTGAAAAATACTAAGTTCGGTTAACTTAACAAGTATCTGTAATTC